TGTATCTATTCTAAGCCAAGCAAACCCCATTGCCGTTTATTCCTGTTGAACTAACAAGAAACTCCCGCCAATAAGCTCACCTTGGCACAGGCAACCATAACTTGTTGTTCATCATTTTGTTCTCACAATAGAAACTAATTTCGTGTTTGTTCATGTAATATTTTTGTTTTGCCAGCAAACGTGCGTGAGTCAATCCGAACCATGCTTTTCTTGATTAAATAAATTAAAAACAATGAGCTCATATGAGATTACTAAACCTATTCGTGGGATAATACGCTCAAGAGTAAAAGAGTGACCAGAATTACGCCAAAGAAAAACATTTGTGTTTCTAATTGAAGGCATTATCCGTTCAGGGATGGTTTACTTTCTTGCGAAGAACAAGAGGGAGGAATGCACCCCGAGTTGTAGAACGCTGCACGGTGCCGGTTTAAACATTTATTTGAAAAGTTACTGCGGCAAGACTACAGCCAGCTCTTTGACACTGAGGGTGACAAAAGTGGGAAGGTTTTCGGGAACAGGAGAGAAGAAAAGTAACAACTTCCGCGGTTTTTAATAACTTGTTAAGTAAACAAGTTAAGCTAAAAGAAAAACCACAGGATTGGTATATGGATATGATGGCATGTCGCAGACAGACAGACGAATACTTGACTGTCTAATTATAACGTTATGACAATTTTTTGAACAAATTTACATTGAACCATAGAGAAACATTTTACAACACAATATTTTACAGAAAATTTCCTTTGACGACTGAAAATTTGGCTTGTCGATATCAATTTTTTTTTTGTCTCTACGCTTTGGAAAACGGAAATTGCTGTAAAATCCTGTATTATATTTATATTAAAGTTCTCTGCGTGAGCTGTTCATTTTGTTGACTGTTTTACGCCTTTTGGAAAGAATTGGTAATATGACTCTGGTAAAAAGAATGTCAATTCTAGTTCAATTAATGACCAATATTAAACGTGATTATAGTCAGGAAAAGAAGCATGGATTCCTTCACTTTTAGTCCAGAATAATAGTCAAAGTGAAACTGACACAAAAAATAACAGGGGCCACAGGTTCTGTAGCACTCACCAGCAGAAAGTTTTCCTGTTGAACCATATTTTAAGTTTAACTAGTTTATGTTACGCATGTGTTGGAAACACAAAGTGGCCAAGCATAAACCATAATACAGCCAACAAAACTCAGGAACACTCGTTTTTTTTAGGGGGAGGGAAATATAGCAAAAATCTACACTTAGTCACAGACAAACAAACCACACGTCATTCCAGTTACGTGATCAGATGGTGTTTAAATTTAAGAAGTTGAAATCGTGACACGGGGTCCGTGAAGATCTTTTTTAGGATTATCGTAGTCATTCTCTTCTGGAGCAAGGGTTTTCCATTCGGGCGTCCTTTGCTCCGGGCCAGCAGGCTTTAATTAGGATCAGGGACGCTGGTACGTGAGGCCGGGGATAAAGTGCACCTCGCAGCCAGCCAGCAGTATTTGCTTGCCGCCGCGTACAACACCATGCAGTTGGCTGCTGGTATGCAATGGCTTCTAACGTCTGCTGTGGTTCTGAATTCAATCTCAGGAGGTAAGTCTAAAATAGTTGATGTACATGCTGATATTGCTTGCGTTCCAATGTTTTCAGTTTCAGTGATGGCGATGCGATTAAGCTATTATGTAAGTGTATACCTTTGCGGTTTCGCGTTTCCAGTTTGGTCATGCCAATGTTTTTACCTGTTCTCTGTCGTCAAAGATACCCATTTAAATTTGTACTTTGAAACTTTGGACAGAATGTTTTCATATTATTTAAAGCACTTACAGAAATAACATAATCGCACGTTCGTCACTTTGTATAAAGTGTGCCATGAAGTACACGAAGTAGACTTTACATTGTACTGACTCAGAGAGTGAAGTTGTTTGCATGCAGCCAGTGTGTGTGTGTGTGTTTTTCAACTACATTTTTTGGATGCCGTCCCTTTTTGCATAGAACTTTATTGCCTTTTAACGGCCTTTTTGTGAAATGGCTCCATAAATTTCACATTTCACCCAAACGTTTATGACCTTTTCATTAAAATCCAATAATAACCTCTCAGTGTATGGCCGTAGACCATTATTCTTTTGATTAATCTCAAATGTGCCTCATGGGAAATCTGTGAAACACTTTGCTACAAGGTAGCCGGACAACCAGCGATTCCAACTCGTTATGCTCGATTACATAGTCCAATGCTAATACATATAGCCATCTCGACATTCTACAACCACACTGCACCTGGCGTGCAGCATCTGGAAACCCACGTGTTTAAAAACTAAACGAAAAGGGAATTCCTTCGGGTGAACTTGCTCTAGGATTCAAATGTATAAGAAAAGCGTTGAGCCTTGGAAAAACACCTCTCTCCAGAACCATAACACAGAATGTTAATCAATATCGAATGGAATCGCTACATTACTTGTAACAACACAGTATGTCGCGTGCCCGAATGGTTATAAGACGCCGTGTCCCAAGTGTTAATGGTTACCAGTAGCCTAAAACAGATGGCAATACTGCGGAGACGCCCATTTCCGCAATATTCTATAGTTTCATCTATATGACCAGCCGGGGGATTGGTTTACGTTTTTGCCATCATTACATCTTGTTCTAAACGTTGGTAAAATATGAAGCTTAAAGGGATAACAGCTGTTCATTTTGGCCAAAAAATGNTTCTAAACGTTGGTAAAATATGAAGCTTAAAGGGATAACAGCTGTTCATTTTGGCCAAAAAATGCATTTTTCTGGGGTAAACAGCAATTTCCCCATACTTACCAATGGTTACATTGTAATTAATCTATTTCTACATTCAAAGTTAGTCCCTGTTTTTTTCTAAAAGGTTTTTTCTAATCTCTTAAGAGATTTTTACAGAGTATAGTCATCCATGGAGGTCATGTGGTCGAATGGCAAGTACAGATTTCTGATTTACTGCCATAACTGCCGTTTTTGTGGTAAAATAGAATATATTATAGTTCTTTGAGTTGTTTACAATGTATTTATTGTGAGATATAGATATCATATGAAGAGTTATTATCCCTTTAAGTTTTTCAAAGGTTCTCATACCAAATCTGGTAAAAGTGTCTTTCGATAAAACACCTTATCAAACCTAATAACAGTATCCAATACATGAGTTATAGTCTCCTCATACATCTGTTGACATTTTACAGCCGTGGCTGACTACTAGTAGCCTACTATGGTTAAAGGCGAGCTTTTGCCCTGTGTAGTTAAAGGAACTGAACTTTAAAAAATAATTTGACCCAGATAAACTTTGGCAAATGACTGTTTTAAATCCAGTTATGTTTTCGTTTACTTTTCTATTTTTTAGACTCTATGACTTAACAGAAGTTGACAGATAACGTCTTTTTAAATTTATGTATGTACCACTGGCGTCTCACGACCCGTTTTTGTTTTAAATTCACCTGTTGTTAGTTGTATCGACGTGCGTCCCGGAGCTGATCCACCTGAAGTCCAGTCAGATGGACAAATGGAACTATTGGTACAAAATCAACTTCAAGACAGAGGTGAAGACAGTCACCATAGAGGACCCGGACGCCTTTGGTCTGGATGATATAAAGGAAAAAGAATTCAGACTGAATGGTAAGAGAGCGAAGGTGAATTTGATTTTTTTTTTTTTTTTGCAAACAAGTAGGAAATAACATAAAAAGACTTGTTCACACTTCATACTGGTAGTGCAGTTCCACTTCACGTACAGAGTGAATACAAAAACATATGAGGTCGCTAGAACTGTATTATGTTTGAAGATCACGTAGGTGTTGTGTGGTGACGCGAGTGAAAAAATCGCACGTGCTCAGTTGACAAAGCCAGATCTCCACTTTCAAATAAAATAAACCGTCGTTAAATTAATCGAATGAACAAATACATGTATGACTTTATTTACCAAAAAAAAAAAAAGGCGAAACAGAAACAGCTGTGAGAGCGTACGAAACAACAAATATTGCTGAAAATATATTCCATTACTCACATTACTAAGAGTGGCAAGTCGAACGATAATGATTTCGGCTTTATATTCTTAGAAGAATTATAGTTTTGAAAAACTAGGTTGACTCAAATTGCATTATTTTATCAAACGTGCAATAAGCTTCAGAAAGGTTTGCACTATTTCTTCAATCAAAAGGTTTTGTCTGACCTTTTGTGCAACCAATAACTCGTATAATCATGGAATAGGCAAGTATCAACAGAAATGGTGAGCGAACCCAATTTTCCATTTCCATTCTGTACTTCTGTGGCGTTTTACTGCACATGCACACACAACGCAGAAAGTGAGTAAATCATCATCAAATATAGTTGGATAGAATCTCCAACGTATTTATTTCTTGATTTAATGGACTGATTTTGGAAGTTTAAAAAATTGACAAATTTATTTTTCAAATTCAAAAGCCTTGATTGTAAACTATGTTTTAAAAGCAGAATCTACTGTGATCGTGAAGAAGCTGAAGTGAGTTCTTCGCGTCAATTCGGTCCTGTGAAATTCCTGTCCATGTTAGAAAACTATATAAAAGAATCTATTACAATAATCTTCAAACATAATAAACAAAAATAGCATAAACATGTTTGATTATGAGAACATGATGTTATTGGACAGAAAACGTGAACACCATAAATTATCGATTCTCTCAGATGTAAAGCCAACTAGAACACTTTGCATGACAAATTATGGTAATGAGACAAAACTTGGCTCAGTCATGTCATAGGCCAGTCAAAATAATCAAATATTAGTATTAAAAGTTTATATGTTGACGAAAAGAAGAGATCCTTATTATATAACAAAATTTGCCCTTTTTATGAAAGAGCTTGTAAAATTGTTCAGTTGAACTTGCGTATACACAATTAACCAAACATTTAGCAAAATATCATGTATTTTCACGTCCATGTTAGCGTGGTTATGTGTTCGACATATCCGTGGAAACTTAAAAGATTTACAAAATCTTTTCCAATTTCCATCTCAGGCAACATCCATGTTCTGCGGTACGCTGGCGCCGCCATATACCTGACGCAGACGAACCTTCTCACCCATGCGGAAGACATTTTAAACAACCAGTACCTGCAGGCGGATCTGTACAAGACGCACAGCATACACGGGATCGTTTCTCAAGGTAATTATTCTTTTTATCTTAATCTCGTTATCTCTCTTGGGATTAGGGTTTCTGAGAAATAGTCATGACTGGTGTTGATTTCTTTGGCGCCTTTGTTTTTCTATTATTGAATTAAACCTTATTCCTTTTGTATCCGATTCAAGCCTAGGTCCTATAGCAACAACTGAGACTGGGGATTGATGCCACGATCCTGTTACCTTCGCGTGTAAAAATTTAACCTGTTGTAATTTGATCACCGTGGGTCTGTACCAACAAGGACATTATTAAATTCAACTCATTGTGTGAATGTTCTGGCGCACGAGTTTCCCCGTGGGGCAGCAATTACCAAACATGTTTGTAAACATAGCTTTACCTGTTATTCCCTCCACCATCGGCCATAATCGCTGCTAGCCTTTCTCTTCTCCTCATTGTTTTAAAATGGGTAAATTATTATATTTTAGGTGGATACCATGAAGAATTAGAACACGACTACTACCCTTACAAGGAATCATGGGTGACAAAGTTTGCCGTGTCTTATTCAGATGACGGAAAGAACTTCCGGTATCTCACAATTGGGGACAATGTCACTGATCCTAACCATATTCTGGTGAGTTAAAATTGTCTACTTGACTGTATAATTATACAGATCGTGGAATGAGGTTGTCAGCTTGTGGGAAACAGATGACACGGACTGAAAAAAAAGCTGTTCCGAAACGCGTGGTAATTAAAGTTGACATGGCTTTAAACAGGAAGTCTGAAAAAGATTCAAGCAGGATCTTAGCCAAGTTTTCTTTAATGTCAGTATTTTTCCTTATTCATCATATTTAAGTAAGTCAGGTTTTAGATTAACTTCTACATCGAGGTACTGTTAATGGCAGTCAAATATAACTACCCTTTTTTTTAGGTTTTCCTGGGAAATACAGATGGCAAACAAAAGCGTCGCGTGATGTTCCCATCTCCTATCTCTGCCCGCTATGTGCGGTATCACCCCATTCAAGGCAGGGACTCTCAAAAATCGTCCATTTATATACAGATGAGGATGGGGCTCGTCGGTTGCATTGACGGTACGGCCACCTAGCGACCATTCTTTTATAATTAGAATAAAGTCAAGGTTGTCAATTTCTACATAAAAGTTAGCTGTTAAATACTTATTTTTCGAGATAAAAAATGGCCATTGATTTGCCGCTGCTTGATGAAACCTTGAAACAAACCTTGAAACAGAAGATGCATTTCCTTGTTCTAAGATTAAATTTAACGAAAATTCTGTCCGCTCTACTCTTATTTCTTATTTACACTGTCTTACAAGCTTAACCTCAGATCAACAGATCATAGGCCTGGGGGAAGATTTCTATACCATTTACCCATTTTGATCGAGGGCATATAACTAATTCTTTATCTGATATTGTTTTGTTGTGTCTTCATTTTATAGCGGACATCACAAAAGAAGTCATTAGTGACCAGAAGGATCAGAACAAAAAGAAAACTTTTACTAACCACCAAGCAGATGGGGAGGAATTTACGTTGCGATGGAAAATAAGCGTTGACGAAAAGAAAGTGTGTTGATATAACAAATGTCAATATATTTTTGCAGAAAATATATACCTATTCAGTATTAATTGCGAAACATTGATTTTGTTCAGTAAAAAACCAAAATACCAGGCAATCAGTTGTCAAGTCGAAAAGAAAAATTAAACTAAATTTGAGTGATGTATTGTCTGTGGGGAATAATGCAATTAAGTAAAGATCCGTTTCCAGTGTGGATAGGTCGACCTAGCTTAGATCGACCAGTCGCAAGAGGCCAGTTGATTACGATTAGATCACCAGATGGAGAACCACATTGGTTCACCGAGGTCGTTATATTAAACACACTCTCTCCTCAGGAGGGTCGTCCTATGCTAGGTCACCTGTTTTCACTGGAAATGGGCATTTATTGATGCGAAAAGGTTGTAATCCGTAGGCAGACGATGGCGTGTTCTAATATGCATGGGCAGGGTTTCTCATTACCAAAATAGGAGTAAATCGTAGATCGCATGCCTTTCAACACGTAAAGTTTTTTTTCTCGGTACCTTCTGCATTTGTCTGTAATATTTGTCTCTTGTTACATGATCAGTAGAGGATTGGATTTTCTAAAACACATCATGACTAAGAAATTTTAACGTTTCTCAACATATTCCAATTTCAGTCGATTGTCATCACACTGCACCGAGTTCACGTGCCCGCCTCAAATCTCTGCCATAACGGCAGCATCACTGTATACGGGGGCGACTCGGAGACGTCCCAGACCGCTCCGTTATTGTGCAAGGTTTGTGGCTTTCACAGTGGCCCGCAATCTTTCAACAGCCATGCGTCAGAAGTCACTGTCATATTCAAGTCTTATAACAGCAATGATTTCTTCACAGGGGAGTTCTTCCCGTCTTCCCCTGTCAATGGTGGGTGTGGAAGGAACTACGGGGGTTATAACTATTACAGGAGGAGAAAGAAACGGATCATAGGGGGCAGCACGTCTGCTCCTGGGCGCTGGCCCTGGAATGTAAGAATACCATGTTTATCAAAATATGATGCTGTAGTAAATAGCCAGTTCTGGGTGTCTTTAAATGTCATAAAAATATCTCTCCCAACAATTGACAATTAAATAAAAAATAGAATAACTTTTGGACATCTAACCGTAAATAGACGGAATATCGGAGGGTTTGATACTTCACACTTTCCATATATATCAAGAGTGTTCCTCTCTCTCTCTCTCTCTCTCTCTCTCTCTCTCTCTCTCTCTCTCTCATAACCTTGTTATATTTTCCTCAAGGTCAAAGTGCTCAAGTCTACGTTATCTCACAACCACGGCTTCTGGTGCGGAGGTACACTGATTCATCCTCGTTGGGTTTTGACTGCCGCACATTGTTTGGAGGGGTAACAGAACTCTTTTTCAAAAAATTAAATTATTATTTTTTGTCATCTTACTAGGAAAGCTGCACTGTCCTCATTTCTAGGTTAAAAATAGAATGTGAAAGATCGGGAAATGCACTTTTACTCGTTTAAAACAAATAATAAGGTAAATGACTTATGTGTCAGTGTTAAGTGTTAGGATGTATTTGGTCTCTTTTTTCTCTAATTCAGAGTACCCACAGCAGACTACGAAATCGTTGCACTGGACAATCAGCGCCGTCGAGCTGTAAAGACTTTTATCCATGACCAGTTTTTTGAAAGAAATAATCCTTTTAAGGTATATAATATTCATATTGTACAAGCGTATTAAAGTAAAACATGATATATACTTACGAGAACACTCTTGATTCTTACACGAACATTTAAAAAATAATACGTAGCAAACCAATACGTTAAAAAACTTTTGGAATCGTTTTTCTTTTTCAAAATCATTCAAGTTAAGCTTTGGAGAGGTAAAATCTACGGTTGACATCCCGGACTCTTACGCTGACTTTATTTTGTAGTAATATGATAATTCCGTCATAATTTTGTTTAGCCAATGGCTCCCTGAACATTATTGTCTATAATCATTTAGCTTCTTAACGATGTTGGCCTCATCTACCTTGAGCGAGACTTCCAACTGGGATATGGTGCTAACACAATATGCCCGCCAGATGGCGGAAGGAGAGACTGGGAGTCAAGCACCTGTTATTTCACTGGCTGGGGGAGGATACAGCCCACGGGTGAGTCTGTTGCCTGGTTTTTAGGCCGCTATGTAGGTAGTTTTTTTAGAAAAAGATAAAATTTGATTAAAAGGGCACTTATGTGACCTTCATTATATTTTTTATTTACTTGTAGGCTATTACCCAGAAATGATGCAGCAGATCCGCCCTTCTGTCGTTCCCATGAATATATGTCGATACTACTGGGGCTACCGCTGGATGAAACAAGAAGCCATGATCTGTACGGCGGGACACCCTTACCTACTGCAGGGCTCTAACTGCATGGTTAGTGAGAGAAATTAGTTAAATGACCATTGTTTAGAAATTTTGTAGGCAAGAGGGCCAAATCCGTTTGCTTGGCTTAAGTAATTTCTATGATAGCATAGCACCAGCGCATCTACCACATCGTAATGAAAGGTACCCAGTATAATATGATAGACTTCAATGCAAATCAGGAACGGGGGAAGGGGGGAGCTCTTAAATTTGTGATAGACAGCACGACCAATGACGTTTTGTTTTAATTTTATATTTATCAGGGAGACAGTGGCAGCCCCCTGTTTTGCAAGCGTAGAGACGGTAGCTACACAGTAGAAGGTATATTTAGCTGGTTGTATAGGGAATGCGGTACAATGGCCAAACCAGACGTGTTTTCACGAGCCTCGGCACACTGGCCTTGGGTACAAGAAATCATGCATACGTACTCTCCGGGATATTAGCGCGAGTGATATTCCTATCACAAGAGCAGTTGTGATCTTAATCCGCTCTGGTTTCATCAGTTGCAGCAAGACAGAATGGACTTGTTTTAAAGACCTTGCTAAGCAGTTTATTGCATTGGATTCTGGCGTGCTGTAACTGCTGTTCTTGGAGGCAATAGATTACCTGCCTGAAGATCTAGGGAACAGTATACCAAGGAGGTTGAGACGATTTCAGGAACTTTAAAGTACGCTTCATGTCCCTGTACCTCTCTTATTCAATCTAAGGAATTTTATAAAATATTGCAGTTCAGATACTTCTGCTTGATACAAAATACATTAAGATTCCTATAATTTACGTTCCCAGTTTGTGGGATCAAACTTATCCACATTTATTTACCTGCAGGTGTGATACGTTTACAAATATATTTATGAAATATAATAATAAAGACAAGATTTGTACTACCAGCACGCTTTATTTCCGAGATGGCAAACTAAAATATACAATCTACACAGCCATAGGTGTCGTTGAGAATAAAATGCAACTAAACAATAATTTCCAAGTAATAACTACTCTTTTTACGATATAATCCGCACTTTGTACGCAAGTCAATAGGGGGCGCTTTATGCTGACATTTACACAAGATGGAATGACACTCGCAACCAGCTGCATACCGATGACGTCACACTCCTGTAAAATGGCGTCACACTGCCTGTACTGTTCGTTTTTTGAAGCAGGAGCTAAAATGCAGGCAGTTTGTATACACGTGATATCGTCTCCCTATTAACTTAAGTACAGTAGATGCGGGCAAGATTACTTTGGTGAGGTGGTTAACTATACAATTTTTATACAATTTCCGAATGCAATGATTTTTTGTAATTATACTGTAACATGATAATTTGATTATTGTGAATAATTCTAACAACATGATTACATCATATATCACCAGTATGGCCGTGCACTTGTTAAAAAACCTCACAAAGTAATCCTGCAATTCTTAAAAACAAATATTTAAAAGACATAATAATGCTGTACAATGCAATAAAGATAATGATCTTTTTTAAGTAGCAATAATAAAAGAAATCCATTACTGTAAATTGCTCTGATAAAAATGTGCTCTTTCTATATGTATATATATAAACTACCATCATGGGCTGTCACAGATCATTTATGTATATTCTCTACAAAACTAAGTTTCTCTCTTATAAAATTGTTTTCTGCAATATTGAAATGCTTATGTCAGAAGATGGACAGAGACTGCTTCAAACCCGGATCTCAAACAGTTTGAATCCACAGTATCCTTCAGAAAAAATGGGTCCACAATAATAAAATGTTTCAGCCCTAGTCCAATCTCTGTAACAAGCCGACGCTGAATCTACTTAAAAATAGTCTCTAGATTTAGTCGAGATCCATTGAACGCCACATATTGGCCGCCATCTTGAGAGCTAAATCCTTTCAGTTGTTCTGTTCAGCTAGACAGTTTACAGCTAAGGTCAATTGCTAGCCAAGTCGATATCACCAACATCTCAGACAGTTCTCATTTCTAGCTAGAGGCAAACTGTTCTTTGCACAGTCCTGGTTAGAATAAAAACTGCATATATTCCCATTAAAATTGGTCTTTTTAAAGACTTGCTCTTGTTTTTTATCCACAGGCCGCTGTTCTTTTAACCCATATTAGTGCACATAATCAACAATTTTGATGATTTTGCTTCCTTTCGTCTGCTGCACTGCACTGTTCCTGATATAAACTGTTAAGAGGATTACACTACTCAATCTGCTCCATCTGTGTCTATATTGTATGTACATCTACTCCAACCTCCAGCTCACAGATCTGTATCAAACCAAGCTGCCGCAGCCATCTGGTTGGGGTCCCCTGGGGTGATGGAGTCGAGGTTCTCAAAGTTGAGCTCGGCAGAGGGGGTGCCTAGGTCGGGGAGTTGGTCCATGGGGCCATAGTTACTGCCTTGATGACTGCCGACATCCAAACCCTGCATAGCATCCACTGGCATGTGTGGGTCAAAACCTAAGAGGGAAAGAGGAATGAAATTAGACGCAAGGTTATCTATTTTTATATATTACATATTTTTTCGAGGAGAAACTAATACCATGACATTACGTACAAACAGACACCTCAAAACGTTTCTCCACTTTTTTCCAACACTGCTGGCATCACCTTCATGCAATTTAAAGGACATATAGTTTTAACATTTTGAACAGAGCATTTTCATGTTAACAATTTGAAAAAACTAAAACCACTATCCCCTTATTGTCATGGTAAACATCACATACTGTGGATATGTACAAAGAACCATGAAAGAATCCTCCACCCCCATCTCACCCCACTTGTCAGTACAAGCTGGGCTGGAACTAGCAATCTTTTTTTCATTTAGCCAAATCAGTATTTTTCATCACTTTTTTCTCCAAATGGCTTAAATTTGACTAAAACAAGTTAAATCAACCCTTTTTTGTTTAGCCAATGTAAGTCACTTATAGCATTTGGCTAAATTGGCAAGTGCTGGCGCTATCCCCAGACAAAGTAAACCCTTAAACCTAATCATTAAGTACGAGGTCAATCTCCTCACCAGATCTGCTCATGTCATGATGACTTCCACTGTGGATGCTGCCCTGACTGCCATGGTGGGCCGGTGGGTACCCCATGGAATCCCTGTACTGGGGCTCGTCCACGCCCAGCATGCCGACGTCCTCAAACCCTGGGCCTCCAGGTCCCTGCAAGATGGAGTGTAACTGAATAAGAAGATGTGGTAGTTGAATTTTTGTGCAGATATAAGTGGGATTGTCACCTTACTTGATAATTTTTCAACAATGTACTAAAATGGATTTGGTGTAAATAATTGGTTAACATTTGACCATAGCAATCAATAATCATGGTAAAATGACCTCATACACTGCAGTAAACCATGTGTTAGTTATTGTGCCCCACTGCCACTCACCTCATTCCAAGCCATTGGGTCACCTCTGAACAGTGAGCTGGTCAGTTCTACAGACAAACGTTTCTTGTAGTCCTGTGGTTTATCTTCAGACATACGGAACAACACTGCAGCAGCATAGGTGGCTGGAGGAGAAAATACATGCTGATTATACTATACAACAGGAAGGTCATTCAATGTGGCAACTTGGTTAAAAGAAATTCTTCAGGTCACCAACAACAATGCAGACAAAGAAATTAAACTGCAAGTACAGTAACTACAAAACAAAACAAAAAAATGAAATATAAGTTCATTCCTCATACCCCCATTCTCTAACATGTCTTACCATTATACTTAATAATTAAGTCAGTAAATGCAGTTAGAGAATGTTTTGGAATCATCAAAATAACGTTGCACTTAAAAACTTGAAGACCAACTTACCAACACCCTCATTCCTTGAGTGCAGTAACTCGGTCAATGGAGCAGTGGCGCCCTCTTGTTCGATCATTTCTGCACCTTCTTTGTCGGCTGCCAGTTCACACAACACGCCTGCAGCTACACGCTGAATGTTCTCAATTGGAGAGTACAGCAACTGGAAGTAAAGGGTTCAAAGTAAGTCAGATAAATGCTTTATTAACAGTTTCCAAATATTGCTCATCTTTTTTTTTTTTTTTCAAATTTCAAAAAACTACTTTAAAGCTGCAAATGTAAAAACTAATCTTCCATAGTTGAACCGACAAAGCTCACTATTACATCAAGTATGGGACTTTACATGACAAACTCATTAATATACATATATTCCCCCTTCCATAACTATGAATGTACACGGAGGCTATGAAAACCTACCTGTACAAAGAGTGGTATACAGTTCAGTCCCCTGATGATGGCCCTGTTGTGGGCCTCCCTGGCCAGGATGTGGAGAGCCCCTACAGTACCTTCCACAATCTCCTCCATACGCACGCCATCCACATAACTGCTGCCAGTCTGACTGCCATTAGATGCTACAGAGGCTCTTTGCTGGAATATACAGAAATACAGGCTTTATATAACAGAACTCAATATAACTTACAACATAAGCGACTCCTTTTTTGAATACTCGCTTAAGTTAATACCTTTATTAAACATACTTGCTCATAGTTCATATCCTTTATTTGAAAATGTTTATTTTATCCCAATATAGCATTTTGCAAGAACATGACCCATTTTTTTAACCACAACAGAACAAATCTACAATCACCCATCTTGTTCATGATTACAAGTATTTCCATTTTAGAAATGGTAGGACCAGCTTTGTAAAGTGTTCCTTACCCTCTGTGTGTCTTGGTGTGCTCTTATCAGCAGCTGTACAATCCTGGGCAGGGCACCGTGTTCTCTCAGTGGGGCATGGTTAGCTGGGCACAGGGCAAGGTTCCTGATCAGACCGACAACAGCCTTGATCAGGGGCCAGCGGCTTGGTGGGTGCAGAAGCTTCACAAGGATGGGTAGGCCATAGTGGAGGCGCACTGCATTCTGGGCCATCTCAGCTTCGGGATGACGGCTGGTCAAGTGACGCAAGGCACACACCTGAAGGGTACAATATAGCAGTGTTATGGTACTGTTATGGGTTTCCATATTTTTTTCTATGCACACTCATTTATATTTGGAACATTGCAAATTTAACCAAAATATTGTATACATCCTAAATTGGTTCAATGAAAGGTAAAACGCTGCTGGTCGTTTTTCCTCTCTTTTTTTGCTTAACATCAATTCTGCTCAAAATATTTGAATACAATCATCAACATATTTAAATTCTGGATTAGATAAGTTATATCTTAGAGGCAACTCAGAGCACATAAATCTCTTTGAGAGACCATGAAAATTGATGATATTTTAGATTTTGATGGCAGTTAACTTACAGCAGGTTCTGTAATCTCCTCTCTGTCTCCAGCTTGCATGATAGTGCGAACCAAAGCCTCAATTCCTCCAACTTGACACACTGTGATCTTGTTCCTCTGGTTGTTGCAGGTCAAGTTGGACAAGATACCCGCAGCACAGGTGACCACATTGATGTCGTTGGAACTGAGAAGTTGTGTCAGCAACTGCAGGAGATTTTCCAGAGTGTCGGTCTTGGTGGCAGCATCAGAGAGGTTTCTGAGCGTCCACAAGCAGTTCTGGACCAACCTCTGGCTCTGGTGTCCTAGGTGCATGGCCAGGGCTTGGAGGCCACCTGGAAACAAAAAGAAATTGTTCTCTCAAAGGTCCTCTAAATTTTAACACAAGGTTTCAATTTTGACAACTGTGTTTGAGTTCGCAACTTTGTTTTCTTAATTACATCAACACGTAATCACCAGCAAAACTCTACCTGAAAATAATTAACTTGAAAACTATGCAGTTTGTTGACAACCAAATTTGAAGCCAGAACACAATACTCTTCCATGTTATTTAAAGGCAACAAAAATTTCACCACAAAATGTAATAAGATGTTATATAATATATTCCATCTCAACTTTTTTACTTTCAAAATTCCCAATGTTTAAAACATTACCTGATTCTACAATAGCAGGCTTATTGCTAGGACACACCGACAAAACTTTCAGCACTCTGGAGGTCGTCCACAGAAGCTTCTCATAGGTGTACGAACGCATGATGCGGACAAGTTCTGCTGGGCCTCCACTGGCAAGAATGATCAGCTGGAAAAATAGTAGCAATCAGATGAATGAACTGGAACCATGTAATTTCACTACCCATCTTTCTTTTCCCCTAGGATTTGTTTATCAAGATCTAGGTGAAATTCACCATTTCAAACAAAACGCCCAAAAACAATATTTTAGGAAAGAAAAATAATGTTTCCAAATTTCAGCAGGCAAAACTGCTTTGTACACTGAGTTTATGATATATATATATATATATATATATATATATATATATATATATATTCAATAGCATTTAGACAGACAGTTTACTCCAGATATCAGGTTTATCACTATACCTTGCTCTCTTGGTTTCCATATGCCAGAATCTGTAGACAATCTGTGGTGATAGCCAGGAATTTGACATTGTTACGCTGCAATAAAGCCACCATCTTTTGCAGTCCTCCTGCCAGGCGCACCGCCATCTTGGCTCCCTCTTGGTGCAGCAGCAGGTTGTGAAGTGTGGTGATGGCATAGAATAACACAGACTCCACTGGGGAACTAGAAGACAGAATGAACATCTTATCAGTCTGCATTTACTGATTATTTTTAAGAATTAAGTTTAACTTTTCAGTTCTTTCAAAATGTGAACTTCTGCCAGATATTGCATTAGTAAAATCCATCAAGACCAAAATTTGGATTTACTCATTTTCTTTTGCAAAAAATTATGTATCTTCTTTAAGTGTTTTTTGCCAAGGCTTGCCCCTCTTTTTCTGCATGTCTATTGTACTTTAAAACATAACAGGTTCATACACTAAAACAGAACTCAACTTTAAGCTCTTCAATCTGAGCTCAAAACCCAATGTGTACACAAACAGCAGGCCTGAAAACTTCCCCTTACCTAAGCAGTTTGACAAGTGCGGGTATTCCCCCAGACTTGAAGATGGCCAGCAGTCCCTGTCTGTGGTGTGAAAGGTTGTGTAAGGTTCCTGCAGCACAGCGCGTGGTCTCCACATCATTGGTGTTACTCATAGCACGCACCAAGGCTGCGATCATCTGTGGAGAGTTCATTATGGCATGTCTGCTGGCCTCTTTCTTGGACAGTTGGTGGACCATCATGGCTGCTTGGCTGACCACAACTTGGTCTTCATCGTTAAGAAGTTTGGTCAGTTCCGGAATGGCACGAGTTGCAAGATCTGCATCATCCTAACAGATTATAAAACACATAGTAAACAATGAGAAATCAGTTCAAGGTTTGAAAAAACAACTAGCAAAATCTTCTTTTTTTTTTCCTCATGATATTTAAATTTATCTTACTATAGAGAACTGTTTGGATTTTGAATCCAACTGGACCAAATTTTTAAGTCTCCGAGTTAGGAAACCAAAAACTGGGCCCTGTTCGCTATTGCACATTTTTATTTTTAAGATCTTTTAAGATCTTCCACGTGTCCACCTGGCCCTCCTCCTTACCTGGTAGTTAATGAGATTAACCACAGCATGCTTCAGCATCTGTGATGGTTCTGCCAGTCTTTGGACTGCAGTGGGCTCACTGGGATGGATCTGTGTGGACGGGATCTGCATCCCCTCCTCCAGGGTCTCGGGAAACATGGCTGCTCGCACACGCTGGGACCTTGTCTGGTTCAACTGTTGGTTCATTTCTAAGTGGGGAAAACATGCATAGTTATTGTTTGGGCTTCATTTTTTGTGATTTAATCCTCTCAGCAACAGAATGATTAAATACTTCTGTATGTTGTGAATATATAAATACTATCACTTGACCCATCACAATAAAAACTGAGAAATTTAAGGCCAAAAATACTTCAACAACAAGATTTGACAATTTTTGTAATCATTGTTATCATTTCTTCTCACCATCCACTTGTTCCTGTGTGAATCCCTGTCCAAAGTTTTGGTCCCACTCAAACATTTGCATACGGGAGGTATCCATGCTGTCGTCCTCCATCTCATCAGCATGACCCTTGCTGCTGATAGATGGCGCCTGTGTGGTAGCGCCTGACTGAATGCCAGAATCCGCCATGTACTGGTGCTGAGTCCACATCATGGTTTGCTGGTTCTTGTCCATTGGCATCTCACCAACGTCCATGTAGTTGCCGCCCCCTGACACTGAGGAGAAAAATTAAGTAAAGCATAAAAGTTAAAAATAAAAGTTGATCCTACATTTCTATCAAATGTTTAGTATGCAACTTTTGTCTCATATTAATAGAGGGATGGGTAAGAAATAACATTTTTCCCCGTTTAGCACTATTGACAAATCTTTCAAATAACGTGATAATACCAGTTAAAATTTGTCATCACTTGTCAAAGGAAAAAGAATTTTTGTGATTTATCTACTTAGGTATGCATTTAATCTGCAATCATTGTAATACGGAAAAACATTCAATGAAAGTCTGTTTTCCTTCAGCTTTGTTTGTCGTGTAATTTTTTTCTTCACACGTAGAGGATGAAAAGAAAATGAAACATAAACCAGGTTTGTGAATAAACATTTGAACTTAACCATGGTTATCATAAATCAACAACTTTCAGGTGTTGACATCAACACCTTACCTTGTTGTTTAAGCAGAATAACAAAACAACTTTAAGTCAACCTGATTAGTATTAATTTTCTTAGTCAATTTCCACTGCGCATACCAAATTACATTCTGGTCAATAAAACTCAATGCATAGCCTTATAGACTCAATGGTAAACAGCTCATTTAAATAACATTATTGAAAACATTAATATTTCTGGTTACTTTACAATACCTAATCTTGTGCTTTACCTTTTTGTTTTTCTTTTAAATAACATCTCTTAACTCTTAATTGCAGCTTTTTTCTTAGAACTATGTATATGAACCATGATCAAAACATTCTTTTAGTGGAGAATAACCGTGATTTATATATACTACTAGCTATTAAGTAGATATAAATTGCACTGTTGATGAAGACTATAGAGCCCATACTGCTGTAAACACGGTTGATTTATGTGCGTTCAGAGAGCAATTATGAGATATTTACTGTTTTCAGTTCATGGAAGAAGGATATCTATATACAACTGTTGGAGGAGATGTAAGTTAAATATTTTATCACAGCAAAAATATTTGATACAATTTAAAAAAGGTGAGTAATTTCCTAGTTCCTTTCTTTCCCCCTGCATTAACAAGTGCTTATTTTATAAAACAGACAAACCAGCATCCTTTTTTCACCATCTGTGATTAACTTTTTCAAAGAGCATCTTCTAGAACCTTCACATCTTTTTTTAATATAAAGAAATCTGTTTACACATTTCAGCTATTCTAACACAAGTGATTCTATGCCAGACAATGTGTTTACAGCTCCTGAACACTGCTATTATCATCATTTTATATATACTCACTTGTTCTTTGGTTGCCTGTGGAAGGCATTTGTTGATATGTACTCATGGTGAAGATAGTTTAGTCAGTGTTTGCCTGGATGAAAAATAAAACAGAACAATAATTTCACAAAACCAAAAATAGACAACAGAAAAGAATTTTATGTATATGTACCAATAGATGTTTCCAGGGTTTGCTTTTTTAAAATTATAATGGTCATGGCATACACTTCCATTAAATTTCCTTTGTGTCTCTCAGCACAGAAAAAGTCTAAAATGGTGTACATGATATATCCAGTTTCTCCATCATATAAAATGTCTGGTGACCCAATTCAACCCTCCATCATTCAAGACCAGCAGAGGATAAAATGGCTGCCTTGCATGAGGCCAACTATTGAACTAGAATACAATGCTACGCGATCAGCTTGGATTATCCCTGATATCATCTAGAATTTCCATGACACTTGTAGTAATTATCTACATAATCCAGACATCTCCCGTCCAATTGTCTATCAGAGTGGAAAGATGTGAAATTAACAGAAACAGGCCACAGCCAACATAATACATGGTTCTACGGGCTGATAAAAAAACTAGGGAAATGAAGCAAATTTAAAATGGGAGGAAAGGCTAAATGAATATGTATCCTTTTGAAAACAACAAATAAAAGAATATTCGGGTAAATATAGTGGTTCAGATCACATTTTCACATATTTCTTCATTCATATATTATATGGCTTAAGTACTTCAAGTTAGCATGTCTTGCAATCAACACATAACACAAATTAAAAGTGTTGAATACTGCGTTCACAATTTCTTTTCACTACATTCAAATCAAGGACCAAAATGAGCCATGCAGTACCTCATAGCAAAATCTAAGCAACTAGTCATGAATAATGGAGTGATGATATCGGGATACAACTCTATCAAATATTCGATATCTAAAATCACTAATTATTTTATAATACCTACCTCTAGCTCTTCAGTGAAGATCACACAGACTGAGGCCCTGCAACAACAGAAAATATCCAGTTAGACATTTGTTTGTGAAATCATACACATGCCAGCTTGTTATGGCATTTGGCTCACCATTGGCAGCAGGGCTTGCTGCAAGTCAAGGCTCGTTTTCTGTTTACTGCTTGGCATTTATGTCAGCTGAAAAACCTGTATATCAGACTCTGCCCCGAATTAAACAATTTCCAAGCGGAATTTACTTTTAGAAATCGCACCAACTGATATCAACAGTTTTGGTTTGGTTTAAAATGCCAGTTGGGCTAGAACTGTGTCATGGGGAAAAAGGGTATAAAATGCACCTATGATTCATTTCTAGCTTAATTCCTAGCTGCCACAATGGAGATGTCAGCCATTGACTGCAATGTATTACTACTAGGTCATGCCCCAGCTGACACTGAGAGATTTATGGCTTGGCAGGCTGTGTACTTTATCCATCAGAAGAGAGCTTTTGGCAGCTTGGCACGCAGCCAACACTTATTCACCAAAGGTCTCACAAGACCGATGAGATTAATGCACGGACACTACCTAAAAGTCTGTGTTTGTCTGATAAAATTGCCATTATTTCATTTGGAGCATTTTTCAACACAATTTAATATAATTTTATGAATTTCCTTATCAATCCTTAGGGGGATAGTGGTAATTTGTTCACACTTGCCCTTATCCAAACAGACCTGTCACAGGAGCTGTCAGCTTAGCTATGAATAATGGCTATCAGATTAAGGCACAAGGAACTGGTTCAACAATGACTGCCATTATTTCTGAATAACTCAGACATGCCTGATATGAATGATAATAATTTCTTCACCTGACAATTCAATGTTCTCACTGTCAGCTCAGACAAAACAAATTCAGACATAAAGATAGACAAACTTTGAATAAAATGATTTAATCCTAACAATAACAAGATTCAAAGCAAGAGAAGCTTTTGTCAAAAGCCGCATTATGCGACCAAGGAAAATGGATTTACTTAAAAATTCATTGGCCCTGTCTTTGTAAAGTGAGTGAATATAAGTTGATATAATTTATGCGGTCTCAAGTGAATGTTTTTTTATTCTCCTTTTTGTTCGCTCTAGAATATTTTCAGACTTTAAACGTAATTACAAACACATCAGTGTACCTGAAATGAGTGTAGGGAAATGGCTTAAAATGGAAGTTCAATTCTGAACAATATTTTCAAGCACATGAAATAAATGATGATGGTGATCAAAATAAAAATAGTTGACTTCATTCTCCCTGAAGTCCACAAACTAAACATAGATCCAAGCCGATATAACTTAACTACGCTTGGCAAACTTGTTCACAAATCTAATCACAACATGAGTTTTCACGCCTCATGAATATAAGTTTCTTATCAAAACATTCTCTTCTATGGACATTCTTAATGAGCATAAACTCTTAACTCTTACCTGCTCCACCACCATACATTTACAGAGTTGATTTTTGCTTCTGGTTCATTTGTGGAACCTCTTATTAAAAGTACAAGGTACTTGTCACAATAAAAACTTCAGACATGTCTACACAATGAGATCCTGCCTATTATTCTAAACCCCTCAACTGAAAACAACAAGGTTACTGAAACAACAACCAATCAGGAGGCAACACTGGGAGCACCTGCCATTTTCAAATTTGTAATTATCCAAACAATTGAGTAAATCAGCTGCTGAATCATTCACAGAGTGGCCAGCATCATAGGCTGCACCTGACTGTATGACATAACTAAACATTTGCTAATGAACTGCCACACTTCCAAGAAAGACCTATTAGTACCTACTTGGATATGCTGTATACCTTTTGTAATATGTGAGTCATCCTCTACGAGTTGTGCAGTGCCATGAAGCCTACCAGTATTAAATCCATTGCTATGAAATAATTGTATGAAATCTACTGGTCCTCAATTTCAGTAACAACATCAAACCCTTTTAATATCTGGAAACTCCAGGTACTGTAAAGATGATTTTCAAACACAGTCATACCTTCTTAACATCTTTGACAAATTTGAACCCTTGGAAATTAGCCTTCAAGTATATGGTGATACAACAAAATAGTTTCTTCTCTGGTTTAAAATCCATCTGTACTAGTAGTTTCTACCTGCACACTGGTTTTGTATAATCCAGCTGCAGGCATTTTCCATCTGGCACCTCTGGCTGTGATCCAGATACATCTGTTCTCAGCCTCTCTGATCCAGGGGGTCAGAAATACAGTACTCTCTCTTGGGGCCACTGTAAGCTACCTTCACACAATAATTTCAAACAATTCTAAAATGCACTTTGCAAAGGCCTCACTGCTCTGAAACAATGTAATCCACTAGAAACAGCTTCCTGAAGATACAAATTGGGTTGCTTTCTGGTTTAAGTTCTTCCCTTGAAACTCATCTTAAAAACAGCTGTATCTGGCCCAGTGTCAAGTATACTCAGTAAGCATACTTCATCTAAGGCTGGCATATGAACTGCCTGACCACATCAATGGAATAGGAAATCTTTATGTCCCAGGCCAACTAGAGACTATTTTCATCTGATTCCACATCTTCATTAACAAAGGTGTAAAGTAATCATAAGCCAGGTCTACCCACTTGAATTAATATTTGCACCCATAATTAACCCTAAATAGCTAGTAGTCTACTCATTTATGCAAACTAATAACAACCAATACCAAAAACATCTTGAAATTCATTAACAATTAAGGCCAAAATGCAGTGTTCTGTATCCCACCTCCTCAATTATAAATTCATCAATATTCCAATTCCTGGTCATTGTTGGTCCCCACCTCAACAACTTATGACATATCTAAAATCAATGATTTTTTGATGACTTACAAGAAGTAAACTAAGGTGATCAATGACTATTACATTCCATTGCATTATCCATAAAAGGTAGGGGAGTTCCACCTTACCCACTAGATAAACTGTTTAAATCAGCTTTTCAAACTCCTCCCACAATACATTTTAAACCTATTAACTTTTCCAAAACTGAACTAACAGCTCCAACTAATGCCGTTCATTACAATATCCATGTTCACTACACATGGGTTCATGGCATCTTAACTGTTCAATCAAGATCTCAAAAACTTCTCGCTTATAACACCTGAAGATTGATTAATTCTGTGCACAAAACTTGTAAATACAACTGTGCCAAAACAAAGCATTTTTCCGTTGAATGCCATTCACAAAATATCACTGCCTTGTAATGTGCATTTCATAAAACAAAAATCCAACAAAACTACTACCTGAATGCCAATGGAATAATTTTCTTTGACAAAGTCTACTTCAAATTCAAAGATATGATAAGGTTTGAATGATAGTAAATGGTCATCATCTATAATATGATTATAATATTAATAATGTCATTAGCAAAACAACCATCCAACTTTGGAAGTTTAAGTTGCCAAATTAACTATTTTCACAACGCATGTATTATTCATCATAACGACACTGAAATGATTGTAATCTGAATACTATTACAATCATTAATAATCAGTGCTACAGTAAGCTGTTCCCTGCTTAGTGCTACAATGGAAGGTGACAAGCAAGTGCTAGAACTTGCTAGAATGTACTGTTGGAAGTTGCTCTATATGCACATAACAAGCAGTAACTGCACTTGGGTCGTGAAATTTTACGCTCTGACAAGTGGCAGCGAGTAACAGCAGATTATCCAATTTGAACTCACCCATAACATTATAAATTGAAAAAGGTTCAACTCCATCTTACAAGTACATACATTCACTGCAACATATAAAATGAAACAAAAATCCATACCTCCGTGTAAACATTGAAGTATTTTTGAACGAAATGTAAAGTAATAGTATGAGACAAAAAACTTGGTTAACGCGGGGGGGCTGGTGATACGTCATGTACTAGTAAGTCATTATATGTACTCTACCAGTATATCGTTTTCTTACTTCTTTTTTTTAAATAAGCAAACAAAACACGGTCCTTACAGCACTGAACTACCCATTTCTTGGTGAATTAAGACATGAGGCAACTTTACACGAGGTCCACTATCGAGAACACGGAATGCCACTGTCAAAAAGACAATGGGTGCACCCAAATGACCCACGTTGCGCTATTTTAAAAATTCAAACAAAACTTTAAAAACAGTGACATTCTCCTGCAGCTCACCTGATCTACAGGACCTCTTTGTGAGAATAAGAGGCCAGAAACTACGAAATGTCCCTCTTTTCTGCCTCTGTGAAAGAGTTTTGGAGCAGCAACTGCGAAATTTTCAAATTCCAAGATGGCGTGGCTTCATTTGCTTGCTGAGCTAACACACCTTTGAGAAGAGCGCGTCAAAATATAGTCCAACGGGTTTAATATCCTCAATACCTATCAAATACGCTTATAACAGTAACAACTATTTACGCATTTTACAATAATATGAATTTTCTATTTTATTTCTTAAAAAGAATTATGCTCATCTAGTATCTTTTAAAAACGGTTTAAATATCCAATTACTGCAAATAGTCCCGCCGGGTGGCGCAGGGCTGTATGCATTGTTTTCGTTAGGTCGCTACGCGTAGGAAATGCTCAGTCAACGGAAAGGTATGCTGAGGATCAATCACTATGAAAGGAGAGAGAGTGGCAGGTATGGCAAAATCAATATTATATGCGGAGGTGTAAAAATGCCACAAACATCTCCAAATGCCATCATCTTAGACAATATTGAACTTGAATTTAATCAAGTAAAAACAAGTGGGTTGAAATATTATTAAAATATGAACATAAATCGATTTAAAAATTAATAAAAAACAAATTATAAAAAAATATGGATGCAAGTGAAAATGTTAAGTGTAACTGATTTAGCAGCTGAATTATGACCACTTACGTCATTCAAAGTGGAGTCTTCAAAAATTAACAAAGAACAAAAAAGAACAATCATGAATGTGAAATGTATTATTTTTTCTTCATCCCCGTCTCTTTTTTTATGCAGAGAAAGCAACATGTTAATTATTAATTTTTAACACAAAATGTAATACAGTATGATGATCAAACGTTTAACTTGGGGAAAGATAGGCCTATCAGAGAGAGAGAGAGAGAGAGAGAGAGAGAGAGAGAGAGAGACGGAATAACAAAAAGACCTGAATGATGATTCGGAGAGAAAAATAATTGAGTTTTATGCGTTTGATTCTTTTCTCTGTGAAAATGGCAGTAACAACTTCGCCTCAATGCTGTTAAAATACATGTAAAGGTGCAACTCCCAACAAAAGAAACCAAGAAACAAAGCCTTTTGATGGGGTTTCATTTGATTTCTTTATGCTGTCTGTATAAGCCCACGTTATTGTTAAGTCATACATCGTTTTTTAAATTTCCAATATTTGTCAGCAAAATTGCTTATTAAAGCATAATGGGCATTTAATGGTTTCTCGTTAAAACCTTTTTGGCGTTGCTCGAAATGGGCGTGGCTCATCCACAAAATTCACATCCATGTAGGCCCACTATACCCGCAAAATATGCCCTTGAAAAAGTTGAGAACAATTATTTGCCACTAATTTTAATTGATATCTATACAATTTTGTTATAAGCCGAGATAATAACACAATAAACATCACGTTTTACTTATCCGCATTTAAAATCAGACTGCGTGTTTGCCTATCGCAAAGACTGGTTGTGCTGGTTGTGTTTTTCTCACCTATCGCAATCATACGATGATTACCGTTGTCACATTGTGTTGCGCATGAACGTGCTAAATGCATGGCTTTCTTCACATCTTTTTTTCCTTTTCTAAAACAAAAACAATTGGGATTCTCTCATTATAGCTTTAAATAACCAATGCTGAAAATACTCAACATCAGCTAACTTCTTCCATATTATAACATGTCTAATTGCCAAATATCCTATTAGTATTATAATGGGAATTTGCATGTATTAAAATACATGCAAAACATCGAAGACATCCCACCACTAAAAATCTTTTTTAAAAACATTTTTGAACATAAATTTATTTAAAAATAATCACAAAACAATGTTTTTACTAAAGAAAAGTATATTTAGGAAGTATGCTTCCTTGAGAATTTATCCAGGGCGTCCCAGTATCCCACTCGTTTTTCGCCAGCTTCTTGAGGAGAGGACATTTGGTTAGATCTATAGTTCTCTTACCGTCACTATCGTCTCCTAGCGACAGCTTTCTGCTGTAACCATGTGAAAATGACAGATCGTTTCAACCCAAGGAAGTATTTATTGTGTTGATCTCAGATATAAAATCAATGAGTGGAAAACCTATTAGTAACGTGATAGGAGACGCAACATTACGGTACCTGCTCAGGTGTGGGCGATGGACTAGATTATTAACTTAGCGCCTTTGACAGTAAAATCTGACATACAGGTAAACAAGACTTGAAACAAATCAGACGAACATGTTAATTGGAAAGAGCCGAACAGCAATAAGGTGCCCAAAACAGTAGATGTGAAATGACTTTAGTTGAAATCATGGAATTGAATACAATTATACTGAACAAAAATATAAACGCACGAAACTAAAATGGTCAGTTGAAATGGATAATCATGAAATATGCCCAGGTTAATGGTTTATTTGTGAACTGATGGATTTGTTTTGATCAATTATAGTGGTCTGGTTTCACTTGGCCGCTCCCCGTGAGTATACTCAAAGGTTCAGTTTTTACACCCATAAGACAAATGGAGCATGACGGAGTAGAGGTCAATCTGCAAGACCAATACTCGGACACTCTCTACCGTCTAGGCAATAAAAGGACACACCAAAATGTGTATTTCTGCCACTTGTCAACATGCCACAGATGTATGGAACCATGAGGGAGCATGCCATCAGCATGCTTAATGCTGGCTTGTCAGTAACAGAAGTTGCAGCATGCCTGAATGTGCATCATTCCACTGTCAGCCGTCTGGGAACATGCTTCAGAGACACTGGTAGCATTAGGAACCACCCTCATGCACCATGTCGCCCAACAAACGCCTGTGGAATGTTCTGGATCAGAGTTTTCAGCCATCATGTTTCAGCTCTCGAAAATGTTTGCCAACTGCAAGAAGCACTCCAGGAGGAATGGGATAATATTCCTTAGGCCTCTATTGACAACTTAGTGATGTCCATGCACCGCTGGTGTATGGCTCTGCACAAATTTAATGGTGTCTGTGAACTCAGGATGTTGACCCCCATGGTGTATTTGATGCCCTAACTCTTGGACTATGCATTTAAACTTCCCCTAATGCTCTCAAATGATGTCTATTTGTCGAGAAAAATATGCTGTTATTTTTGGCTACATACTCTAGTTCCATAAATGAAAATAAATCTACATATTATTCTTTCGTGCATTTATATTTTTGTTCAGAATATTTGGTATTCCAATCTATACATCACTAAGTTGTCAATAGAGGCCTGAGGGATATTATCCCATTCCTCCTGGAGTGCTTCTTGCAGTTGGCGAACATTTTCGAGAGCTGGAACATGATGGCTGAAAACTCTGATCCAGAACATTCCACAGGTGTTTGTTGGGCGACATGGTGCGTGAGGGTGGTTCCTAATGCTACCAGTGTCTCTGAAGTGTGTTCCCAGACGGCTGACAGTGGAATGTTGCACATTCAGGCATGCTGCAACTTCTGTTACTGACAAGCCAGCATTGAGCATGCTGATGGCATGCTCCCTCATGGTTCCAGACATCTGTGGCATGTTGACAAGTGGCAGAAATACACATTTTGGTGTGTCCTTTTATTGCCTAGACGGTAGAGAGTGTCCAAGTATTGGTCTTGCAGATTGACCTCTACTCCGTCATGCTCCATTAGTCTTATGGGTGTAAAAACTGAACCTTTGAGTATACTCACAGGGAGTGACCAAGTGAAACCAGACCACTATAATTGATCAAAACAAATCCATAAGTTCACAAGTAAACCATCAACCTGGGCATATTTCACGATTATCCATTTCAACTGACCATTTTAGTTTCGTGCGTTTATATTTTTGTTCAGTATATTATATGGGCATGTATTCTTCACAACACTACAGTCAGTTACTAAAAATAAAGAGTGTATGTTGGATTGTAGGAGAATTCATGATGAAATAAAGTATGGAGTGGTAATATTGATACATCTAAAATTTTATCTATAATTACTACATTATACAAATTTCAAAACCAATATTCCCATACATTTTAAATACCATAATTTCTTTTATTATCATTAACAGGTTAGAACATGCATTTGTATGGTTGACAGTGAAATTGAATGGCAAATACAGGATTGCTTCCACAACATTTCTATTGCACTGAATTAAAAAAAGAAAAAAATTCAAAGTCACCATCATAAAAGCCACTTAATTATACCAAATTCATACAGGGTAACAACTAACCGGGTATGCCTCCAAAATCAGTTCTCGGGGATTTTGAAGTATGAAAGGAAATGCAGTCTCTTTTCCAAGGTAAGATATACAGAAGTGATTTTGCCATATATTGAAGTGTTTCAGATGACTCAAACAACTTTTGATAAATTCTTCATTCAAGAAACACCCAAAAGTCAGGCACACCTGACTCTCTGAATATGACTTAGTTTAGAGAGCAAGTTCTTCCTCTCTCTTAAAAATGCAGGTAAAGCATCTTCATTTATTCTCAATGTCATTTTACATGTCTTTGGCAGGGAGTTTTTTTTTTCTTTTCAGATCAGTCTCTGTGCTTTTGTACGGGTAGCACAGACATATTTTCATAATTTAAAGCCATATGACATCTCATGATTTCACACATACTGAGTATGCCTATGATTATAACCACCTTCCTCTCTAGTTCAGCATAGTNTAGACTTTCCCCAAGGTACAGGCAACATCAATCCCACACCGCGTCGGGGTGTCGTCGCCGATTCGAGGCGGACGGCCGCGTCGCGTTACATTGGTGGCAGCGGTGGGATGTACCAATTACCTTCGGAATTAAGGCATGTAAGCTTGCGTCTACAAAATTCGACTGAATCAATTCCTTTAATCTCAGAATTCCAAACAATGGTAATGAATAACAGAAGCCGTACTGCAGATCGAGGCTGTGGAGAAGACCTGGGAAAAACCCACCCAACGGGAAGGAGCACGTGGTATAGAATGACGATTCGAAACCATAGATGAAGATGGCATGAAATGAAGTGTGAGGCGGAAGTTTCCCTACTCCTCTCTTGGTGTCACTCTGTCTTGCTCAAGTTGCCCAAAGCTCTCAGCTCCCCTGAGGGTGGAGGGCGAGGCGAGCTATCCAAAGGTCAGGGCAGCCAGGCCACTAGAAAGTTCGTTTTCCTTAGAGCCCAGACGTACCGGAGAAGCCCCTACTGGTGGAACGGGATTAAAGATGGTATCAAGATGGGAGGCGTAAGATCGTCCGCAACAAGGAACAAAGTCAATGAATTAACAACTAAGCCTTACTTTGATTCGGGAGAATCAAATTTAAAAGGTTGGGGGCAGTGTAACGTCCCCCCCCCCCTCCGTTTTGCATTCCAATACAACATTTTCACCTAATCTCTTCAGAAATTCACTTTGGAAGGGTTAGCGGTTGCGTACCTGCCCTCCACCTTTATTTGGTCCCCCCTACTACAAATATTTCCGTCAATTGCAAGAAACTTTAATCTAAAGATGACAAAACGACCGATACAGTGCATCGACGATGCATGGAAGCCACCATATCAGTATATGCCACTTCATGCTGACCTACGCCGTACGCGAAGCTCGTGCTTCGCGCGACTGATGACGTCGCCGCGTCAGAGTATAAATAGAGTGGCGCGCTGTGTGAAAAGGAGCGTTTTACAGATTCGAGTAAAGTGAGAGCGTTTTACAGATTCGAGTAAAGTGAGAGCGTTTTACAGATTCGAGTACAGACTGAGACCGGACTAAGAAGAGAGTTATCAGTAAGCGTCAGGGCAGCCCCTCGGGGCTAGCCCGCTCCATTTTATTCTCATATATTTTAAGGGGGGTCTTATTTTAGAGATTTAAATGTTTGGTGGAGTGAACGGTAGATTATAACCGTTGCTAGATTGACGTAGAAGTTTTATGGAAACTTTATTCCCATGTAGCCCCAGTTTTTATTACTTACTAGAACAGTTTATACTGAGTCCGATTATGGACACAGACTAGTTAAGTTTGTTATTGCTACTGCAGTTGTTTTATTGACAGCAGTAAGTATTTAAGTTCGTTATTTTCACAGCCGTCAATTTCTTGACAGCAGTGAGTAGTTAAGGCTAAGCGTAGGGCAGTTTTTATTTATTATTTCATTTTCGCTTATTTTCCTTTCTAACCATTCCATGTTGTCATAAAATGACCACGTCATTCCAGTCGTAGTTAAGTCATGTTGTCCTCGGAGACAACGTCAATTATTCTAGGTTGTCATCTAGTGACCACGTCATTCCAGTCATAGTTAAGTTTGGTTGTCTTTTAGGGACAACGTCATGTTGTCGTCAGAGACAACGTCAGTCATTCCATGTTGTCACCTAATGACCACGTCATTCCAGTCATAGTTAAGTTTGGTTGNATTACTACATTATACAAAATTCAAAACCAATATTCCCATACATTTTAAATACCATAATTTCTTTTATTATCATTAACAGGTTAGAACATGCATTTGTATGGTTGACAGTGAAATTGAATGGCAAATACAGGATTGCTTCCACAACATTTCTATTGCACTGAATTAAAAAAAGAAAAAATTCAAAGTCACCATCATAAAAGCCACTTAATTATACCAAATTCATACAGGGTAACAACTAACCGGGTATGCCTCCAAAATCAGTTCTCGGGGATTTTGAAGTATGAAAGGAAATGCAGTCTCTTTGCCAAGGTAAGATATACGGAAGTGATTTTGCCATATATTGAAGTGTTTCAGATGACTCAAACAACTTTTGATAAATTCTACATTCAAGAAACACCTAAAAGTCAGGCACACCTGACTCTCTGAATATGACTTAGTTTAGAGAGCAAGTTCTTCCTCTCTCTTAAAAATGCAGTTAAAGCATCTTCATTTATTCTCGATGTCATTTTACATGTCTTTGGCAGGGAGTTTTTTTTTTCTTTTCAGATCAGTCTCTGTGCTTTTGTACGGGTAGCACAGTCATATTTTCATAATTTAAAGCCATATGACATCTCATGATTTAACACATACTGAGTATGCTTATGATTATAACCACCTTCCTCTCTAGTTCAGAACATTTAACAAACCCATGGCTGTTATGCCTTTCTCAGTTGTCATTAAACAAGACCCTTAGTTTTAGAATTGGTTACTCAAAAAAGTTGATATAGAGTTCAGATTTCAGTGGTTTATAACACTCACTTTGGAACTACTTTCTTTGCATTCATATTAGGGTCAAAGGACTAAAATGAAGGTTTGTGGTCAGAATTCCCATTCTCTTGCTTGATGCAGATCTGAATAGCAAGTTTAACCCAGGCATATTATATCTTAGGTTAAAACAATCTATACTATACATACTATTTAGCTACAATACAGCATTAAATGTATTATGAGGCAAGCACAAAGTGTTTATAATTTGGGATGGCCTTCTAGCACGTACAAGTATTGGCTGTAGTCTTTGGCCTTTTCCTCGAAGCCCTTCGTCAGATAGTGAACGGTGCAGATACTTCTTAAATGCAGACAACTGACCAGTTATATGTTGGTATCTGTTATTTCCTGACCAACAGAAACGAGACATTTCTGTTTTCTGCTGCCCTGTCTTTATCCACTTCTTACAAGGGCACAGGGGAATGATTGTGCTTCTAAAATGCATTTTTCTGACCAACAGATGTATAGTGTGTGTTATCTCCTTCCCCGCCCACGTCCACTTCCCTGTCCAGACTGGTGCATTGATTGCTGTATATTGCCATTGGGAGGGGGGTGTCTGCCCGGGGCTGGGCCGCCTGGACGGATGTTCCTTTGGGAGGGATTATTTACTGAAATTTTAAGAAAATTAAGTTATCATAGGAAATGGGAATGATATTCCGCAATGATTATTTGCAATTTTTTTGGAACTTTTTGAATTCATTTTCAACCACAGTAAACTGTTGTGACATACAACCCATGCTAAAATTACTTATTTCTTTGGTATTTATGATATAAATGTGAACATCAGAGTCACCTTGTGAGAAGCTTAATGGAAGAAATAAATATGTAAAAGCACATTATTAAACTAATGATTCAGAATTTGTTCTCACTCCAAGTTTCACACTATACTGAAGTGGTCTTCATTTGATTACATTGGTTATAAATGTATCAAGCCATAGATATTATGTCATTTGTCATCATCCATTCAAATATCTGAACATGTTCTGTAAATATCTTAAATGCTCAATATGGAGACCTTGTCCTTTACCCACAAATGGTGCCGTTTTTTTTCTGTACTCAATATATAATATTATACCACAAATATAACAATGGGCCCATTGAGAATAAACTGACCTTTGGACTAATAGATACATGGTTTAAAATATGTCAGATCCACTTGAATGCTTGCCTCATAATCCCCTAACAGACACTGAATAGATTGCCTGTGGGTATTACATGGTTAGCTTTAAAGTGGGTCAGCCATTTTAAATCTGTGGATCTGTTCGTCCAGGTCTTAACTCTGGTTGTGAAAGTGGCAAATTAAANCACAAACAATGATTGGCCACATATTGCCTTACTTTTTTACATGGGCACCTTCTGTACCCAATTACAAAATCTCACAGTTGTCACCTTACTATAACTAAAGATATGTAGCATTGCAATTCAGACCCCCCCTAAAACACACATTTTCATGAATATTTGACAAGGTCATTTTGACATTAATTTTTTATATTTCAAATTCAATAAAATTTTTTTTTAAAGTGGATCATAAAAGTGTAAGACCCCAACTTTAATTTGGCATCATTTTTTTTCCATTCATTCACAATTTATTTTTCATGTACAAAAGTGGGCACTTTTACCCCCTTATTCGCACTCATCCTTTCTCACTCACTAGAACGTTTTAAAAGAAACAAATACATTCAGAAAAGTAACAGGACGCTGTGCAATTTGTGTTCTGAGGAAGAGATATATATGAGAGCATTCACATCAAAAGAGCAGAGGTCTAGCAAGGCTCTCAATGAATGTCATTGAAAGTCATTGAGAGACCATTAAAGGATTACGCGGCCTTCCTTTCATGTAGGTCCGCCATATTTAGGTCTCAGCCTTGCTAGACCTCAGCTCTTCTCGATGTGAATGCTCTCTATATTAAAAATCTTACAAAGTAAATGCAATGATTTCTGTCTCCTAAGCCTACCTTGCATCAGTGGGGGTACTCTCTGCTGGCCATTGCCTGCCTGCTCACTACCAGCTTGCTGCTCTGTGGGGGACTTCCTTTGACCTTGACCTTCCTGTATGAAAAAAAAAAAGTGAAAATTAGATTTCCTGACACTGACTTTAAATAAAATGTACATAAAAAAAACAAAGCATAAACAAAACAAAATATATTTCCTTACCATCATTATTTTCAAGTTTTGGTATTAAATTCAAGGCAGGAATTTTACATGACATGGAACAGGAGTAAATGCAGTTTTGTATTGTCAAGATTTTTCTTGTTTTGTTTAAAATGTCAAATCATTGTCGCAAAACCCGACCAAACACCATCATATGGTTTCAAATATAATAATTTTAAGAAATACCAAAGAGTATTGTCTCATACTTCCCACATAAAAGTAAATTTGAACAGATATTATTTGCTTTCCTTCTGTGGTTTATATTACTTTTTGTTGTATCTGCTAAAGCTCATTTAAATATCCATGCTAATGCCATCGGTTATGTGTCATTTATCTAACTGACTTTGAGTTATATAAAAAACTCGAAGTGCAGAGAATCTATGCTCTTTGTGTAAGTTTAAGGCATGTCCCCTTCAAAGGATTATCCAACACTGCTTATTTCAGCTTCCTCAGGGCTACAGTAGGCAGTACATACCACTTTTTGTAAAAACTCGGGATTTGGTTCACTCATGTTGGGAGTTTCTAGGAATGGCATACAAAATCTGAAGCAAAAAGATGTATGAGTATTATTTTTTCAATGCCTTTTATCACTGAACAACATTAAAACAATTTCATACAACAGAACAAACAAAACTAAACACTCTCCCAACACTATAAAATACATGTATATGGATATGGTACTTCTAATAATGCTCCTTTCATAAATGATTTTCCTGTATAATTACATCTAAAAGTTAAAAGTAAAGGTATGAACTGTAATAAAAACAATATGCAGACATTTTTAAATAAAAAAGCTTCAGGTCTATTTCTACTTAAGTTTCATAATTTGTTTTCTAATCAACTGATTCATAACTTTTAGAAGGACAGATTATAATATGCTCAGTTTGGTAATTAAAAGACAGTACATACTCTCCTATTTTCTGTATTTCTCCTCCTTTTCCTGTATAAAGTGTTAAACATCCTTTCCATATTGAGGCATATCTGAAACATTAAAAGAAATATTATGTACAGCATTTTAAACATTTTGGACCATTTCCTTCTATTAAGTTTTATTACTGAGAGGAGCTTGAAACATCACAAGTTCATGCAAAGAAAAAAATATATACATATTGAAAAGTTAGGACTTCTAAAATACTTAAATGAATAATATTTTCCATTCCCCTCTCTCTCACTTTAGAAATTCATTTCAGTTCAGCATTGTCTCCATGGTTACTATGTTAAATTCTTATATCCATGAACAACTAGATTTAATTGTAAAATGCTTTAAGAGTGGCTTTTTGTTTTCTGACATGGCAGTTCTCATTTTCCAAGTGATTTTCCAACAGTAAATGGACACATCAAATATCAATCTTCTGGTCCTTCATGGACTCAAGTAATCAATCTTCATTCCGTAAAGCACACTCATTGTGGCAAGAGAACGGATTTTAAGTTTTTAACCTCTTTTTACCCTAGGCACATGTATAAAGCAAATCCCCAATTCAAATAATAAATCCTCTTCATAACGAGATGGCATTGTAATAGGTTACGATACATATACTTTTAATACTGGAAGTTACAAATTTTTATTTAAAAAAATGTTTATCTTTGGTACATTTTAGTCAACAAGACAGATATGAAAGGTAAAAGGATGAGAGAATTCGGGATACATTTTATGAAAAGTTTTCTACATGTATTGGAAATCTATTATTCCAGTTAAAGTGATTACTGTGACATTGAAAAAGCAAGCTGTTATTTGGATATACCTACCCTTTGATAAGTCTACATATATCTCCAGTTTGTAGTGCTCCTCCAGCATCATCCCACACTGAGATGTTGATACATCCCGTCTTGTCTGCTACTTTACACGACCTCACATCATGACCATCTTTGGTCCTGTTGGGTTTGCCTGCAACAAAGGGTCACTTAATTTTGCTTAAAGCTATAGGTGCAGTGTGTGTGTGTGTGTGTGTGTGTGTGTGTGTGTGTGTGTTAAAATAGAAGTAGTTTTGTAATTAATTAGCTTTATATCACCTTGTTCAATCTTGCAAGAAATATTTACAGGATTAGCGGTAATAAATATTGACTGTCAAGCACATGCATTGTGAACCATAAATTATGATTATAATTGCAAGAGATAAGTTTTACCGGCTTTATTCAAAACTGATCTTAAAAAAATTTGTTAATAACTAGATCTTTTGGGTTGGGGGTGGGGGGTGGGGGGGTGCTCTATTATTTGGTTGTGTTATTGGACTCAAAAATGTGTAAATGCCAAAAAAAATTGGCCTCAGGATTAGAAATGGACAAAGGGTTCATGTAAAACTGGTGGATCTCAAAAATAAATTTATTCAGCCCCCCAAAAACTCCCAAAACTGAGTGTAGTTACTAATACAGGTATCACAGCTTCTTTCCAGTGCAGCTAAAATAGGGTCAATCATTAAAATAAACTTATCACCAAACTCTCGTCCACTTTGAGTTTCACAGAAGTGTACATTACCTACTCTAGGTTCTAGATTCCGGTATTGCCAGCTCAATCTTGATTTCATATATAACCCATATCAACAATAGTAAAAGCGACTCCATCACAAGGTATATTTAAGCTAGTTAGCTTTTACGTTGCTCTGACACTCAGGGTAACATTACCTAGTCTGTTACAATACTATTGACTATTGGTCATTTATTCCCAACAGATCATTTGTGAAGATTAACAAGCAGCAAAGCTGTAAAATGTACAGACAAAAAACAAATAATGATGCACAAAACAGGTTATTTTGTAAATTTTGATGCAGTTTTATATGTTATTTTTCAAACACATTTTGACAATATTCAGCTCAAAAAGAGCATATAGTAGCTATTTTAGCTAAATAAAAATATGGGCTAGTAAATATAAAAAGTGCATTTAGTGCAGGTTTAAAGGCATGGTGAAATAGATTTACATGTTCATTTTTTATTTTATCTTACATTAAAAAATTCTATTCTATGCATTTTTTTACTGGAGTTCAAAAGATAGAAGGGACTGCCTATGGGATTTACCCATAAAAATATATTCTCCTGGGTTAAAGGCCAATGTTCTCTTACTCACAAATCTTTGCTCAGCCCATCCCTGCACATGGATTCAAAGTTCCATTTTTAATTTTAATAACTAAGTTCTTAAAAAAATAATGACTACCCAATCATACAGAACTACATAACCTCCATGACCTCGGTTTCGCACAGAGAGAAGACGTGGCGTTTTGTCTTGGCTCTGTTCAATGGGAAAAATTGCTAATTTGAATGATACTGAACCTTTTCTAAATAATTATAAATTCTTAAAATTAGATCATTCCTACTGAGTGGTAGCAACAAAACTGAAAAGCAGGCTACCTTATAGTTCTATTTCATTCAGTAAAGCACCACAGATGCTACAAAGAAATATATTTTAACAAGCTGTCTTGTTTATCAGTGCTAGTGCTTAGCAAGAGAAATTGAAACACTTTTTTTCAGCAGACACGAAAGCAACTGTGCTTTGACATGTTTGTAAACATTCATTCATTGTCTTTAATTACATATTGTTAGCTATTTCTAAACAGTCCTATGTGGTTATTAATCACTGTCTTTGAGGCATTTACATATCCTCTAGCACGGAAGTTAATTTTTAAGATGTCAGGATATTTTTTAGATGTAAACAAACATGCTCCTTACGTAAATCAAATCAGTTCATTCTGGGTCCATCATATATCTACAAAAAAGTATGAAACCAAAATCTTTAAAATTTTGACCTCTATCGCCAGACAAATCTTTTTACCACAAACAAACAGACTGGCACTGATATCACTTCTCAATTAACTAGAAATCTTTGTACTGGATTGGAGGAGTGAAAGTGTGTGTGTGTGTGTGTGTGTGGGGGGGGGGGGGTTTAGGTGAACCATGCAAGTTTGGGGATGGGAGTACTAGTAAGCATATGACTGCCTGAATGTGGGTTGGGGATGTGTCAGATTTAAGTAAGTGGTAGTATTTGATTTATGGAGATAGCTTTTCAATGGGCAAAAATTACCAAATACATAATTTTATAACCACAAAAATTTTATTTCCATATTGCATTTGTGGCGCTTTTACTGCATAGAATAAAACAATAGAGTAGCCTGGTTTTTAATTTTGTTGCTACCACTGAATAAGAATGTTCTAATTTAAAGAATTTATGACTTAAAAAATACTGTGTCGGTGAAATTCACAATTTTCCACATTTAAAAGAAAAAGGAATTACCGGAAACACATCAATAATTATAGTTTTGATATAATCCTGTAATTCATTTCCAAAGCTATCTTTTTTTCTTTTAAAGTTATGGACAAAGTGTTCAACTGGCTGCCAGAATGGATACAAAAGACGTCACGCCGGTGGTATAGGTGGTTTTCGTGGAAGTTACGGCAATTTTGGCGGCGACTGAGGTGGCGAAGGCTGGAATTTCGGCAAAGGTACTTACGGCAACATCCACATTGGAGGCGGCAGAGGCATTTCCAAGGTGGTGGTGAAAGTGCCAATAATGGTGAAGGTCACAGTGGCAATGATAATAGAGATCACAATGGTGATAGTGGCAGTTAAAAAAGGGTGGCCAAGAAAATTAAGGTTCAGTTTGAGGAAGCAGAAGCAGTTACCAAATGTTGATGGCAGTGGTGAAGGTGGCAGCTGATTATTTTACCAAATTTATACTGAATATTAAAATCATGCAAAAGACATATCAGGTATTAAAATGATAACCTATACAACCACAGCTACTATTGGACAGATGCGCTACAACTCAAATCACTAAGATCACTAACACCTACAAAAAATTGGGGTGCACCAACAGCCAACATTGATGACTTGTGAAGAACTGATTTCTATTTTAATTTTAGGGTTATTTTTGTAGTATTATTATATTTGCAAAAAAAAAAAAAAAAAAAAAAAAAAGAGTTAACAACAAGCTTAAAGCTAATTTTAATAAACTTAAACTCTGTTATCATTTTCTAAAAAATTATTTAGGAGACTAACTGACTTACCCCTAATAATGACTTTTACTACATATTTAAATTGTCTTGTAAGTTTCCAAACTTTACAGAAAGAAAAAGATACCAGCTGGGGATAAAGATGGATCATATCTCTTACTTTATCAGCTGACTATGCCAAAATTTTTATAGCTTACTAGGCTACCAGTGCTTAGGGCCACCAGGGTTAATCTACAACAGTAGCCAATATCTGAGCAAATTTACACAATTCTACAGAGCCCACCATAATTTTATTAACTATCTTTGTACACCTCTCTAATATTATCAAACATGTTAATTGTTATCTTCTTGTGGTATTTTGTATCTAAACCACACATTTTGTATATGAAGCTGGACTTAAAAAAATTAAAAATGTAGTCGTGTTCACAACTGAGATAGAAACGTTCATTAGTTGATCTAATTTAGCTTTGCCAGACTGTATGTTACATTTATTGATAATTCCATGTGTTGTTATTGACACTTTTAAAGGTATTTTAATAAATACTTCTTTCCTCAAAAGGTGCTATTATTGATAGTACTATGAGACTTTTTTTTTCAAATAGAAGCCTTCAAACAGGCATAACAAGCAGTTGTAAAGCTGTTTTAGTTGGAAATGATATACAAAAGCACCATTTTCTCAACATCAAACACTCCAAATAAATACGGTTTATTTCAGAAACAACTCCAAACACACACCAAGTGCAAAGAAATAAAGAACTAAAATCCATATTTATAATATCATTATTATAAAATACCTTTCTAATGGTGAAAGTCGAGTGCCTGTTATGTGACTAACACAAAGTACATATATGAACAAGCGGGAAGAAGCATAGGAAAACTGTCATTACTCCAAGGTAGCTAAAAGCAGGGTATATAAACTTTTTAAGCCGTGTTTTGGCAAAAGTTATAAGCAAAAAAAAACCTTTCATGTTGTCAAGCAATCTAAATGAACAACTGAGATCTATAGAATATCTTACCCATTTCAGCAAGTTCTTGACTGTGAAAAAATCTACACTCTTAAACAAGCAAATGTTTGGCCTCACTTTTTTTTAAAATTATTTTATATATATATATATATATATATATATATATTTTTTTTTTTTTTGGGGGGGGGGGGGGGGGGCTGCATCTGTCGATCTCTAATGCAAGGGAGCAGGAAAACTGCTTTGAGGAGTACATATTGCACCTGTACTCTGCCAGTGGGATTATAATAGGGCATTGGCATGTCAAAAGTCTGAGGTAAATGTGATGTTAAATGTTATTAGACCTTGCACTGAGTTAACATCGAAATGATCGAATAATGCACACGTAATGCCCACTTGTATTAGGTAGTAGTCACGCTCGGCTGTCACCTTGATTGGATAGTAAACGATTGTCGTAAAATCGCTAAATGATATTAAAACCGGGTGCATAAACTTGAAAACCACCTACAACAACCTTGGACTACCACATTAATCCAATACAATGCAAACATAANGTGGACCTGGCCAACGACACCCCGAGAATTTGTTTTTTACGGTTTGATTGTGCGTATGCCATGCACGGAATTTACAAACGAGCGACGGGATGATGTAGCCTGCAGTATTAGCGGTAAGCGTGCCAAGTTTTAGGGGGCTCCGATGCCCGGCAGTATTTTATTTCGATTATTATGTTGGAACTGGATTTTTCTTGTTTCACAAGCTCATTCTATTTTATTGTCTCTATGGAGGTATATGGGGACTTTACGACATTCGGTTTGAAGGCTTTAACCACTTGTTATAGTTTATGTTTGCATTGTATTGGATTAATGTGGTAGTCCAAGGTTGTTGTAGGTGGTTTTCAAGTTTATGCACCCGGTTTTAATATCATTTAGCGATTTTACGACAATCGTTTACTATCCAATCAAGGTGACAGCCGAGCGTGGTAGTAGTAAAACGTGTTTATGCACCCGGCTTACCAATCATATGTCGATTTTACGACACTCGTTTACTAACAAACCAAGGTGACAGCCAAGCTTGACTAAGTCTACATAATTTGTGTCGTTTGAATTGCCCGCCCATGCTTGGCGATTTACGTCAGGCCGAGGCCTCCTCTTAAAAGTACTCACCCTTATGCGAACCTACTCACCTATTTCAAGAACAATGAATACAACATTTATGTTCTTTTGATTAGGTTTAACATCTCGTATGTTTATAAAGCCGTCTTGGTTCATTATTATGCGTAAAACAACCAAATTATAAAAGAAATCTACAGCTGGAAATTTTATAGCCCTTTCCTCATAATTGAAATGGGAAACATATTACATCGATTATTTGGCGTTGTAAAACGCGCGTCATTCGGGTAGATGGATTGGGGTACGATGCAACCTTCTTGAGTCCATTCAGATAAATATATCCTGTCATTTATGAAGGTCAAATAATTTCTAATATAAACATTTTTCGTGCTAAACAATGCAATGTAGTTTAAAGAAAACACGTATTTATTAATGTACAGTATTTTCGCGCGTTTTATCTGATCTATTTTATTGGCAAGCATTATTGGTGGATATCGTGACAAGTTTCCGTCTCGGCCAGGAAGATGACTAGGATTCCTTCTCCATCAACTAAGCCGGAGAAAATTGTTTCGGTTTTAAACCGGATGGGTAAGACATATTTTTGTTAATGTAATTTATTAACCCCCTGTGTGTCATTTAGGGTGTCTGTAGTGTAGTAGCCAGCCCCTGGCAGAGACTTGGGTTATAGTTTAATTCATGTGGCCTTATCAGCACAGCAACCGAGGCCGCTCTGGAGGAGTGGAAAATATGCATGCTTGCAGTTCGTGACTTGACCCCTCCTCCGCCGTGGTTAATATTGAACACAGCGAAGCCTACACACGACGCGCTGATAAATGGCTCACGTTACCTCACATTTCACTTGCCATTCACAAGGGGCGTTTTATTGAAGTCACGCACCACGACCGTGTGCGATACAAAGAGATTCAGTTACCGGCGGCTTGTTCATGAATTTGCAATAAACGCACGGCTGGGACAATGTACTACGTGCTCTGACACACTTCCATATCACTGCAACTCAAGATGAATCAAGGGGTCAGATTCGGCACAAGACGGCGACGACTAACGTTCGTGTTTACACTGTGACCACTGCTGCTTGTACCGCACTAATTTCAGCCGTTCTCGGGGTAATCGTCTACGGTAAATGTTACTTCTTAAAACCAGTTTATTCCTTAATTAGCAGTCTGTTTAGTGTTTTGTTTTTCTGTGTCACGGTTGGTAGATTTTGATCCGTGTTTGTGTCATATCCTATTTACCGTGAATTGAGGACTGGGATGGTGATAAAGTTCCCATGTGTCCACCACAATCTGTGGGTGCAAGTTTGGTTCTTTAACTATTTTTTTCTCTCAGTTCTCCAGTGATATGACAGGTGTTCCAAGCAGACTGTAAGTACATTCACTCCAGTATAATTAATAAGATGAATGATTTTATGATTTTAGAATTTGTCAGAAAATAATTGGTGAAAGAGTTAGTTGAAGTCAAAAGGTTAACAAGACCAAGTTATTAATAGGGTACAGCAGGTATACTATGGCACCTTTGGGAGTTGAATACATCTTAGCTGAAGAACAGAGTTTTCGTGTAACATCTATTGGAGTTAAACACATTTAGTTGTTTTTGTCACATTTAGAAAAAATCACTTAAATTAAGAGTATCATAAACGCTGTCTGTTTTTTTATGTAAATTTCTATATTGTGAATTCTATTTACCTCCGCATGAGGACACAGACAATGCTAGAATTGATTTTTTTATTAAGATGTAGGTCATGCATCCAGGTCACTATCCTCTCTGAGCTCTCCAGATATGATAGACCATTAACTTTTTTTTTTTTAGGAAAGCATGAATCTAAAAAGAGGAGTGAACCTTATATTTTAATAGTCATGTAAAAAATTTAATGTGATGATTCTACAACAAGTGGTAACATGTCTAGCAAAATAAACACTGCGTAATGTAGATATATGAAATATATCATATAGATTTTTGAAATGGACATTCCACCACTTTTGATCTGTAAAATGAAATATCATCGAATATCATCTGTTGACATAGCTTGATAGACTCATGAATTAGAGGGTAGAATAATGTTCTGTTTTGTGGCCCAATCTTCCTAATGAAACCGAAACAGGTTTTAAAACAAGTACTGTGCTTTGAGTATGTATGCCTGCCTGTGTATATGAGGGCTTACTAAAGAATACTGGTTTATGATGAATAAAATGGTTTTGTGTGAGTGTAAATTGGATAAGTTTTCAGAAACACCTACACTAGAAGGTTGTCTTTTGCATATTCATTGTTTATTGTCATGTTCTTACATGCAACATTATAATAGTACATAGGTGTGTGTGTGTGTGTATTGTTTTTTTTACCACTGCACTAGTACTTTATGTTGTTTATATGTTTTCAGGTAAAAAAAAAAGTCAGTCTTAGCATTTTATTTCATGTCAAAATATTTCTTGCTAAAAGTCAGAGGTATAAGGTGGTTATCCCATTCATTCACAAATTCACTTTAACATTTCACCTGAGTTCTAATGAAGGAAATGCAAATGTCATCTAGAGACAAGACTTTGTCACAGTTCAATATGGTTGAAGTGGAAGATTCTGCATGAAATGCTGACATTTTGAAAAGCGTGACGCACGTGTGGTTCAGGCAGTAATAACTCTGCCGTTGGACTTTATATTCAGCATTAATTACTACTGGAAGGTGATTTGGCATGTTACACATGGTATGTTTCTTGGGTGTAGATGGCATGCTGGCTGCCTGGTTTGTTACAGTGATGACGCGATCTTTTCAGTGGGCAAAAATTATCAAGATTTCAGATACATTATTTTTATAATCTCAAAAATTATATTTCTGTATTATATTTGTGGTGCTTAAACTGTATAGAATAGAACTACAGAATAGCCTGCTTTTTAATTTTGTTGCTACGACTCAATAAGAAGGTTCTAATTTTAAGAAATTATTACTTTAAAAATGCAGTATATGTAAAATTCACTATTTTCTTCCTTTGAAAAGTTAGAGTAATTACCATATTTGTGCCTGTATTTCTGCCTGTGTGATGAGCCTGCCTCGATCCATCTTTTTGTTTGTCTTGATCCTCTTTTGCTTGCCCATCAATTTGTATACTCATTTTGTCTGTACGTGTTTCTCCAATTATTTGCTTGTCTCTCAGTCAGTTCAAACACCTTTCTTTAAATGTGTTGGAAGCGGTAACATTTTGAAAAAAAAAGTACCACCACAATTTTTATTGGCTTGTTCTACTATTTGAATCATCATGGCATAACGAATAAAGCACAAAGCTCACATCCAACAGAAGGTTTTAGCTTGGTTCCATCAAGGTTTCAAGTACTTTCTTGAGCATGTTTTATGTTGATATGTTAGACGTGATTGATGAAGGTATTTGTTATGCAGACATGATAGTAGATTTTGGCATTTGTATTTACTAGGTCATAATGGGATCATTGCAGAGATAACTTATTTTGTTGATATTTCATAAATTCTAAATGTATATGTGTACATAGTCTAAGATCTTTTGCATTTTGTTAACTATATCATAAGGGAAAAACAGTGTGTATCTGTTCCTCCGTAATCAATATTTTCAAGATAACTTGAATGTCACGTTGAGAGAAATAAAAGAGGCTGGTTCTCAGTCATGCCTTCATGCAGGGCAAACCTCTGCAATCAATAGATGTGAAATATTCATTTTCATCACGTTACAATCTAAAAGCCTCCCCACCTACCCTCCCTTGTGGGCCACTAATAAAAGTTCTAATTCAACAGCAAGGGAAGGCAACCACAGCATAATCTGGTTCAGAGAGTTGTTAAACTGTAAATTGTTTTAGGTTTAAAACATTATAATAGAATAATATATACTAGTAAATGACCAGGGATTTGAATATCTGAAGCACAGTGGGGTCTCTCAGTTGGAGGGTAGAGTTACAGAGAGACCCCAAAGCACCTGAGACTTTTATATCCTTTGTGAATGGCTTAGTTGTGTGGTGACACAGTTCTAGAATAAAACCTTACTGAACACAGAAAAGGGTACATAGGCAACTACTTGCTATATGAATGGATTTAGGCAGTATGGGAGTGAGGGTGGTGGGGGATCGACCCCCTTCCCCACCCACAACCCCACACATACACACACCAAGTTCTTTTAAGTAACTTGCGTCTGGAATTCATCATAAGTTTTGTTGTAATTATTATTATTGCATCATTGCATGTACTTTGTGTCAGAAAGATGGGATACTGGAAAAAAACAACATTGAGTATCTCAGTAAATGTGTTTTTCAATATAACCGCGTTAAAGCTGATGAAAATCATTCATATACTTGTACCACATATCTTGCCTATGGTACCGTGACATAGTATGTGAGTATTGATGGTGGCTGTGATGCAGGATACAATATATTCACGTTGGTGTCACCGCCACTGTACTTACCTGAGTCCTCTGTATGTGACTAGAATGCGACTAACGTGTTCAAGTGACACAAAGCAATTTAAGCTGAACCTTTTTGTAACACATGCCCCGTCATGGTTCATATGCCGTAGGTACAAGAGGCTCACAACTGTTGGACTTGTTGAGTCATAGAGCATTTGTTAAACGCTGCACAGTAAAATTTCAGTAATTTGTAGATTTTACTGAAAATTTACGTGTACCTCTTCATAGTGGAGGGTCAAAACAACTGTCATTTGTAAACTATGGAATCAGATGATAAGCAAAAACAAACACATATTGATTTATTAAGTTGAACTTTTTGATAAAGTAAATCTTGTTATCAGAAAGTATTGAAAATATAAACATTTATGTCCCTATCAGTATAATTAGTGTACTTCATGATTGATAAGACAGAGCTTCTCTTTGGCCTGAAGTAAATGGATGTGACAGTGAAGTTAACAAGCCAACTGGAACAGGTAAAGACCCCCCCCCCCCACGCCACCGCCCCTTTATTTTTCATTCTCAAAAAGTGTCAAGTTTATTGGAGCATGGTTACATGCAAAGAGGAATTTAATTTTTATGGAATAAAGAAAGAAAAAACATGGCTCTTTGTGGAAAGTAATTGGAATATTTGTTTTCTTGAAAGAGCATTTTTGTTATGTAAAATGGTTGATTTGGTCATTCAACCATTACACTTTTCAGCTCATGAATGCCACAAACAAATTATGTCTAATATTGACTGCAATTAGATCCTTGCATCCTAGCAGGTAGCAGCTCACAAAGAGTCTCATCAGGTTGGACACTATGGGGAAACAGGTCAGCTTTGAAATAATTTGCCAAATACTCAAACAAGTGCAGAGCTTTTTTTTCTTAAACCAAACTTTTCAACTTGGTTTCTACATTAAATTGATTCTGCAGAAGAGATCTCAATTTCCCTGTAGACTAAATCTTTTAAACAGATGTTCTCCTTCATTACCAAAACAAAGCAGCAGAGTCATCCCTGTCCCCTACCATAAGGGATGATAGGACTGGTCTGAGACCCACGGACATTCTACAAAAAAAAAAAAAAAAAGTCCCAGATTGCACCCATTTCCCTAGAAAATTCTTGGGTTCCACAGAGAGAAGTGGCAAGAAGAAAAGACAGAAGAAATTAAAAGAAATTCCATCTTCTTGATGTCCCTTATCTGCCGGTGATAAGATTCGATATTATTGATAATCATGCTGCACTGTATTCTACAGCACATGACACGGTTTGATTAGAACTCAGCTGTGAGACTTGTTCCCCGGTTATGCTTCTCGCCACGTCTCTGGAAATTATTGATTTGAAGACGGTTCTTACTGTGAAACGCTCTCAGGCAGCAGTTTGTCTTTTTCTGTCAAATGCATGCAGTTGGACCCTCACAGAAATTATTACAATGGGTAGTATATGTCACAAGGCCTACATTAACATGGCATATTGCCCTTGATTGTCATTATTAGGTGTTATTGGTGTCCTAGTTTATCTCTCTCCCTCCCCCCCTCCCCACACACACACACTTATGTCTTAAGAATTGCTGTTTAAATATAGTTTAAAGTACAGAGTATCCAGCCCATGCATATGCATCTGTTGCGTGTCTGCATTGTGCATGTCTTGTGGAATTGGCAGGCCATGATGGTTCACCTTTTGTTCTCCAGCTTCTGAATTAGCATTAATTTGATATTGGGAATATTGCCTTTCTGGATGCTTCAGTTTACTAAGTTCTAAAAAGGTGGAATAAATTTACGTGGTTTTATAGGTTCAGAAATAGGAATGAGGTTATGATGACCTTATATCTCTTGCAGATATGACTTGAGTAACTCACCTGTGTGGCCTGATGGTTTCAGGTGTTCATTGTGTATCATAATAGCCTACTTTATTTTACCTGTGGCTTGGTGATATTGTAAGTGATTTTGACTGATCGTCAGGAAACACCTTTTTTATAGAATAAATTTATTTTTCAGTTGTGAAACAACCATTGACAAATTTAACAAAATTAACTTTGAATTTAAATCATGGTTGCACTAACAACAAGTGTGTATATCAATTTTAAAAGGTCTAACATGATCTTTCTATGATGCTGTAGCCATTTAAATGTTTTATCTGTTTTATTACAAAAGAATATTTCAGATGCTTAATTACAGTTCAGTTGATTTACTCATTTGCCAATATGCTCATTTGCCGTCCAACTGATATAAATCGTGAATGGTTAATAGCCATAGTGAAATGTGATATAATTAATTACACAGAGACAGAAATGAAACTATCTATCAGTGTTCACTCTTTCATTTTTTCTTCATTCTCAGCTGACAGCACATGGTAACCATGACGGACTCTGTTAGGAATGATGGAACCCAGCCACTCCCCCCTCTGTCCAAGCTGAAGCTCTCTCTGCCCTACAAGGCACTCAAAGCATGGCTGGCCCTAGCGGAGCAGGAACACTGCAAGTTTGTGGCGGCTGATCAGGAAGGTGAGGCACTTTCACTTTCTCTTCCACTTGCTTTTAGCCAGGACGAGGTGAAGATGTTACTACAAGTCATAAATGGTGATGGTTGTGTAGTGAGGCATTATTATCATATGTCCAAGTCTGTAAGTACTTAAGATATTAATCTGAAGGCAAAGCAGGAATTTTCTTTTTTAAATGGAAGTGAAGTGAATTTTGTTATTGATAGCATTGTGACTAAAATTATTCACACCTATGATATTAAAACTTTGAAACTTCATTATCCATTCCATGATTTCTGTTTTAACCCCGTTTGTCTATTAAGTTTTTTTTTATTTTAAAAACTGATTCATTTTTATTGTGGTTGATAAGTATGAAGACATGGTATCACCAGTAGCTAAAATTCATTTTGTCTGAAGAAAACGAAAAAACAAAAATGCTTGCTTTTTTGAGATTCCAGAGAATGTTAATATTTGAAAGAATTGTCATGTAGGACTATTTTACTATTACATGTAAACTGCGAAATAATTAAATAGTGTACTCTTCTGTTGTTAAAAATATGAACATGTCAGAAGAATCAGTGGTGAAAACATTGTGCAAAACCTGCCCAGTTGTGAACAGATGATAATCCGGGTGTGAATTATCACCAACTTATCACTGTGTGTGTTTGAGGATATCTTCAGAAAAGATATCAGATTCACCAGTATTGAATACTGTGTGTTTTTACCTTTGACTTCTGCCTCTCAAGTGACAGAAGTCTTCATTTCTAGCCAACAATACATGTATTCTAATACTCAAAAAGTTTTCAGTGAATATTTAAATAATTCGCGCACAGAATAATAATATGTAAAATATTATTTTCTCTCCAGGTCATTTTGCATACCAGCTGTACATGAACCATGTGAAGCAGGATTTATTCCATGTAGAACTCAAGTTCCTGAAGGCTCCAATCATTCAACTTTTAGAAGACTCGTATGAGGTGGCAGTCAACATTGAAGAGGTGGTAGATGTTGCTGAAGAAAAAGAGGAGAAGGCTCAGGAAAACTGCTTGCAGGAGGAACAAAAACTGCATGGAGCAATCCCCAAACTTGTGAAGTTTGATGGCAAAGATAGGGAGATTGCAACCCATTCTCCCCCTGATATTTCTTACACAGGGGGCAGCAATGGTCAGTTTTCTAAGGAGGACTGGTCTTTGGGTCAACCAGTCAGTTTGACCATCCCACCCAAGCTACCAGTATCTACCTCAGTAGTACCTAAACGGGAGGCAAGACTTGGCCAGTTCAGGGATTATAATAACACATGGCCACAGGAGGATGGACCATTAGATTTATCAAAACCTGTGAAACGAAAAGAGGAGCGAGACGCAAGTAAAGTCACTGTTAACCATGAAATGGTTGAGACCATGTTAAAACCTGAGAATTTGTTAAAGCCTGAGAATTATCCCCACATGGCGGCACTTGCCTACCAGCAGTGGGCCTTACAAGCTGGCAATCCGCTGGCTTTCACCTTCCCCAATCATGTTTTGAACAATATGAACAACATGAACAAACCACCTGGAGGCAGGCCCCGAGGCAGAGGACGACCTCCTGGCAAGTCCTCAAGTAACTGTAGGTCTGTGAAACACCAGCTTTCAGAATCCAAGGAAATCACGTCATCGCTGCCACGTAGTGCAGACAGTGCCATTGTATCCAGTACACAGAGGCAGCTGGGGAGCTCCAAGAATTCCCTCTCTCCTCATCAACATGGTGTCACTGGGCAGGTGTCAGAGGTTGCTGGGACATCTGCCATACAGAGACCGCAGTCCCCTCAACTGTCACAGTACATGACCTACGCTTCCTTCTTACAGAATACCATCAGTTCCTCCTCGTCTAGTCTGGACGTGCCCCACGTCAACAGCTCTACCTCTTGTGGCACTCTAGACTCTGCCTCTGATGATGAGATTACCGACCGTCGCACAAACCGTTCATTTATTCACCGCCCTAGAGACCGCGGGAAGGCCATATTGAGATCCAGGCAAATTCGACACGAGATGGGGTGTGTGATGTCGTACCTGAAGCAACTGTTACCTCCAGAAATGCGATATGGTAGGACCATGTTTCAAGCGACAATACTCGAGCTTTCTACAGACTATATCGCAGAGTTGCAGAAACAGGAGAGGGAAAATCTCCGGTGTTTGGATATAGAGAGACAGAGACATCAGCGCCTCCTATCTCAGGCTCAGGAATTAAAGAGAGCTCTGTATGGGAGCAATAATAGTGGGGAAGTGGGGAAGGAACTGGGAGAGAACATCAAGGATATGGAAAGCAATTGAAATTTTTTTCCTCATTAATTAAATTATAATTGTTTTAGAAGATGTAGCAGGAGCTAGAATGCAATAATTTTAATGCCATAAAATATTCACTCAATTTATATAGGCCAATATTCATCATATATTATATATCTTATATGGTAGTTTTTTCTATCTATACACTGTACGGGTTTATTTGTATATTGAGTGCTAGATATTAAAATTTTAAGACCTTCATTTATTCTCAATTTTAGATATTTTGAGAAGGAAATTGAATAGAATGCTTTTTAAGACATTTTAACTGTTATTCCCAAATGAAAATAGTTATTTTAGTGAAATGAGTGTGTTAAACTTGTGTAGTTTTTGGCAACCATACAACCAGTCTTCTGAACATCATCATCATTATCATAGCAGCCTGTCACACCACTGCTGGCGGTTTAGGTCTTCACAATCTTCACCACACATTGCGTGTTTTTGTCCGTGTTGGGTTGAACCTTAAGTCACCACGTTGGTTCAGTGCGGGTTGATGAGTACTAGATGCCAGATTGCTCAAGTATCAGGACCATGCGGCAGGTTGCATGAGGTGACTTTTACTTGTTGCAGGCAGAATGACCTGACTTAACCTAAGCATATCATTCAGAATAGCTTGTTTTTGCATAAAGAGGACATTGTTCAGTACAAAAATGTTCTTATTTTTAAATATTAATTAAACATTACCTCTAAATTCTAAGGTAAAATCTGCAAGGAATTTAAATAGATTCCTTGCTTATTTATACAACAAAACAAAAAGCTTACTCCAACTTTTATCATTATAATAATTCTCTTCCCTTCTTAAGCAGTGTGTTGAAGCCTTACACTTTTCTTACCTGTATTCAGTTTTTATAAATTTGAAAATTTTCAAGAAATTTTATAGAACTACCTCACAAAAACTTTAACCTCTGTTACACATCAATTGAAACATACTTTCAAATGTAGAACATACTACATTTTAACAAAATGTCATTTTTTTAAAGTTGTAGTTCATTGTGCAACCATGCAAGTATTACATGCTGTAGGTTTAAAATCAAATGAAGTTTTTTTTGCTTCCATATACTTTAAAACTTAATTGTACAATGTGCCATAGCAGGTTTGCAGTAATATCTCTTAATGCGGAGAAATCAGGAAAGGCTTTGTTCCCAGATATGTTGGTCTTTTTGTAGAAGTAAATTATAGGGTGGGTGGGAGTTTACAATATGTATTTGTTTTGAGTGAATAATACAGAGTTTGCTTAACATGCAAGCCACATTACCCAACTTATGGAAATGATTTCAGTTCTTTACAAAAGTTTTAATTACATCTTGAATACAAGAAAAATAGCTTGTTGCAGAAACAGCATTTTAGGGTTTTTTAAAAATCTTGTTAAGCCTAATAGGATAGGTATTTATTTTAGAAGTTTTATTTCAAAAAGACTAATTAACTGCATTATTTTATGCCTGCCCTCAATCACTGCCAATACAACAGCACTGTCATTGCATAAAATTTCTGAATTACATGTTTACTGTAATAATTGAGAAAAAAAGATGGATGCCTTTTGATTTAAAGTAGTGTACAAATTAAAGCATTTTATATAAGTGTAGTATAGATAAATTTTCTGCAGCTTTTGTATTTTGCGTAATGTTTAAAATCATAGAGATTTGGCAAATCTTTATTAGGTTAGTTGGTATGAGTTAGCATATACATCATATAATCTGTGTTGGAGAACCCCTTTTAAAATGCTGACTTCGCAGTTAATATTGTGGCATGAAAATGGGGAAAGAAGTTTGAATTTCAGGTTTTTGTTGAGTGTAAAAAAACATTAAGCAGGCCCAATTGCTGCACAGAGCATTGTTCTAGAGCAAATCGGAGCAGAAGTGAGGTTTTGGTGGAGTTAACATTCAAAATTAAAGTTGCACTTCGTTGAAAATTAAAAAAAAAAAAGAGAAGAGATACCTTGATTGAAGATCTGCAGGTATTTATGCTTAGAGTACTTGTTACTACTTAACCTTCAGCATTGTAAAAAAAGTATTTAAAAGGATATTTTATTGTATTTTTTGGCTTATATTGTGACTATGATGAAATATCTGTATGAAGATATTATAAAGAAGACATGGCTTGATGAGCTTTTCAAAACGATATCGCATATAACTTACTTGCATCAAACTACATGTAATCACCCTTGCCAGTAATTTGGGACTCATTTAGCACTTGGGATAGTAATAAAATTTAAGTTGCCTCAAAGGTTTTCATGTAGATGTGTTGTTAGATAATATAGAGTATCAGATTTTAGGTGTTAGTAAGCCCTAATTTTAGCCCTTCATTGCAGTAAACAGGCAGTTGATTTTGTTGGATTTGAAAATCAAATACTCAATGTTCACGATATGGCTGTGGGCACTTCATGGGGAAATTTTACGACAGGTTAGGAACTTTATAGCACAGTATGTAGTTAATAATGTGCACTTATGCTTGTGCATTTTTACTCAAAGGAAAATAACAGTAAAATTCTTGAGCACAAGCAAATTATTCAAATAATAGTCATTCTGTATATTAATCATGATAGGGCTATATTGTCTGCAAATAAGGTTTATATTAAACTATTCTGTACATAAGCAGTTAATTTACTGCTTGAATTGCATTTAATTCTAAAAGTGAGCAGAAATAGTTCTCAAAGTTCATCATTATAAGTACAAATTTTTGGTAAACTTAATTCTATTGTGTCCTATTATCTAGGTTGCTCAATTTGTTGAAAATGTGGTCAACCCTTGGGGGGAATTGTATGGTCACTTGTTGCTACCTCTCATGTTAACTAGAAAAGTGCTGCCAGTGTTACTTAACTACCATGTTGTCAACATGTGTCCAGTTACTTTGAGTCAGCTTGCTCTTATTGGTTCACAGTAGCACAGAATTCCTTTTTGCAAAAGTGCTTGATAATTTAAGCTAAATCAATCTTATGAACTAAATTATTTGTGTAATTCCTCCAAAAAGGTAAAATGCCTTATATTTTCAAAAGCCTAGTAAATAGTACGTCTGGCCTTTGACTAAAATTTGCCATGCTAGTGTGATCTTACTCTTATATACAGCAGTCGGTGAAAATATTCATTTCACAGAACTGAAGTGATACATGTATGTAAGGTGTATTATTATTATTATTATTATGCAAGGTATAGTATATTGCTTTGAAATTTTAAGTAGAATGTAAGACGTTAAAGGTGAATTAACAGCATGTGTAAGTGTACCTCAGATTTCCGCACAGACCAATGGATCCTCGCGGTTATAATTTATAAGTACATACGATCTGTCACCAATTCCAGGTCATATATACTCTTGCCATTCATTTGTTCAAAAAGGCTCAGAGATAACTGATGTAACAGCTACCAAAAATTTTTTTCAGTGGTGGCCAAATGCTAGATCAGTCTGTCAAAACTTTAAAAGATCCAGCATATACATGTATTAGAACAATACAATGTACGAGTTTGTTAAGAGCTTTACATTATGTACATGTAGTTGAATGATACATGCAATTTGCTTGTATTCAATGTTGAGTAATTTATATAGCATCACTGTGCTACTCAATAAGCAATTCCCAAGGTACAACTTAAATGTATCGACTTTTAATAACTCCACTGTAATGTTGATTTGATTCAATTATAGTCCATGTACAGTGTGTATGCACAAGTAGTTCTAGGAACCAAGCAGGTGCTTTGAACAGTGGTGACATCTTAATGACATAACTGCCACATCAGACCTCTTAATTTACTGTACAACAAGGAATAATAAATACAACGAATTCAGTACGTTTTACAACTGATTTATTTCAGCACATTTCACTGTCACAACCTCAGCTATGCAACATTTTCCTATGAATTAAAGACTAAATATCAGTTCATATCTTTGCATCATAAAATTTTAAGTTTTCATAAATTTAAAATGTCAAAATAATGTCATTTAGTTATGAAACAACATTTCCTAATCACTGACAATGTTTGTTGGTCAAGTGAGTACGAAAGCAATAACAACAATACAAATGGCTTTCCTAAATAACGATTACCAAGCTTGGTACATTATCCATTTTCAGAAGTAATTTTTACATAATTCTGTGAATAACATCATGTTCTTTTATAATTTAACAAAATGCACATGTGGAAACCTTTTAGATGCCAGAACTTGACATGTAAACTGTCATGTTTTTCAAGTCCTTAGTCCAGATTTTACCATAAAGTCTCAGAAGATTAAATCTAAATTCTCTATCCTCTGAAACCCCATACTATCTGGTTCTTCTATATACAATATAATATTGCTAGCATTTTTTATTGAATGTTATATAAATTAAAGATAGAATTCTACTCAGCAGCCAGCCACTTCAATTTCATTACATAGTTACTCTATAATACAGGCTACAGCCAGGTACCTGTATTGCTTATTGATCAACTAAATGACTCTATACACATCATGATCATCAGTGGTAAGTGGGCCTTCAACTACAACTTGTTCCCCAGTGTCTCATGTCTCTTGGGTGAAGCAGTCTACACAGATGAAGGACCACCACAGCAGAAAGCATGCAATACTCCCTGTACTAGATAACCTGTGATGTGTTCAGTACAGAGCCTAACATTAAGCCACCATCCCAGCCTGCTGCATGCAAGACTTCAGGACTGTCTTGCTGCTGTTGTACAGGTGTCTAGAAGGAGAGGGAAAACGGAATTAGAACCTTTTTTTTATGCAAAGAAATTGAAAGAGATGTTTATAATGCAGGAACTTCCATTTATCTTATTTATATATTAATATTTTTGGACAAAATTGATACAATCTAGCAACTATTTGCTGGAAAATTTCCATCCCAAAGTTCAGTACTGTTTTCAGTCAAACTTTGAAATGAAAACTCCAGACGATCCAAAGTCTTGCCACTATGGATGTAGCTCCAGAATCTGAAATGAAATAGCTGAGGAATGCTTGAAAACCAGTGAACTCCAAAAGTTGTCTGCCCCAACTTATCAGCTGCTTAGCAGTAATAATGCTGTAAAGTTGCTGTGGGCATATGAAGTAAAAACAATGATGCAGATCTTCTGGGATTAAAATACTTTTGATAAACTGCTGATTCGGAAGCTGGGAAATCCTGTCCAAGATTCCAAATATCTTTTCATTCTCAGCAAATAATAAAGCATTCCATATTCATATTCTATATTCATAACATTACTACAACAACAGGGACTCTCAATGCTACACTTGTAAATTGATTATAAACATTTTTGCACAAAGCATCATGATCACTTTGAACCCTGACCTTTCTGGAGACTCTCCCTCTTCTTCTAATACAGGCAACCTTTGCAACTGAACTTGTAGAGCTGTGATTGAGTTCTTTAGGCCATCTTCACCTGGCTTAACTGCAATAACATAGAGAATAAATAAATGATAAAAGTGTCAATATACTAATCTTTATGAATCAGTAAAACTAAAATAACACATTCCAGTTTAAATTTATATTAAATACGATATCAACCAAATTCATATTCAAACTGTGTACTATTTGATACCACCATAATATGAATATTAGAACTTGAAAAAGCCAACACATTTATGGGGCCTTGGTCAAATTTCAGAAAGGAATGTCTTCCAACTAATTCAGTTAAAAAAATTTAATACCAATATAATAACAGAAAATCAAAAAATATCTAAAAAACTGAAACAAGAACTGTAAGTAATATCCTATCAACTTGGTTTGATCTCTCTCTAGGATTTTATTTCCTTCAGCTAAGCAGCTGGATAATTTTTTTAACAAATCCAAATCCAGGACCAGATTTGTGAGACTTCTGTCAATAAAAAAAATATAGAATTTACATTTGCTTAAACAATAATTGACAATATGCTTAGCATTTTGCTTAAATACACAGTGCCAAAGTCAACAAAATCAGTATACACATACTTCTGCTGAAGACTGCTAAAATTTGAAGTGCTGAAGCAAGACCAAAGATATCTTGTATAGCTTCACTGTCCAAACAATGGTAAAGTTCTTCCAGAAAAATTCTGCAAGTGAAATGTTTTAATGTTTTATCATCTTCATAAAAGTTACCAATTATACATACAATTTTGTAAGTGTAACTTTTAATGGAAATTCATTTTTCATAGTAAATGGAATCAATTACAACAGAGAAAATTGAAACCACCCCAAATACAAAGTAAATTTTACATCAGAAAAACAATGAACAATCTGACAAGATGAAGCTCTGATGCTATGGGTACAAAAAAGTGTATTTTAGGCACGAACACCATGGTTGATATTCCTTACACGATATATGATAAAAATTAACTTCTGTACCTGACCATTCCACTCTTCTTGTTAACAGCAGTGAGCAGGAAAGCAGACAGCATAGGAAGCTGGTGCAGACCCTCGTATTCTGACACCTCTTGTTCCTGTGGGGTATTAGAAAAAGAAATATTGATAAAACAAATACATTTTTAAATTGTCTCTCTCTCCATATCCAGAGATTACAGGTGGCCCCCTCATTCCTCGTAATGTGAAGTGTAGCAGACACAGGTATCAAACTAAACTGTTTATCAAATGGAATATAACTTCTTCTTTTGACAGCTGAATTGATATGCATTAGCAGCATTTTGGTTAATTTTATAAATCATTTGAGTTATTTTCCTATAGAAAATGGTACAGCAAAATAAAAGAACTTAAGACTTTTCACATCTATCCTATGAAAATCACAAGCTGAAGTGTAGATATGCAAAAAAAAATACCTGTTTAATTGTATTGGTCACTTCCGCAAGCACGGCAGCCATGATGGTTGCCATGACATCACGGCTGACGTCTGCCCTGCCAGGTCTCTGGCGATGGAAGGATTTCAGGACTTCAGTCAATGGCTGTCTGATTCTGGGAAGGACCTTGAAACAACAGTAAAATGATAAAAGATAACATTCATGACTTTGTTGGATTTCTAAAATTAGAGCTTTCTCTGGCAGTGGGGAAAAAGCTAAATGTGACAGCAAATGTAACATTTAAGCCTGCAGACACTGGAAAGGACTTGGATAGTGGCATTATGGACAAAAATATCTCAGGTTTTGTTAAGTCAGAATACTTAATATTTGTTTAACTGATAACATTAATGAACATTTAACAGTAACAGTACTGTCTGTACCTTCTCAGCTGCTGTCTTATCATGGTGCACCAATTTGGCGAAAGTCTGTACCAAAGTGCTCAATAGTACTGGTACCAGGTCAGTCGTACCCTGGCCCAGACCCTCATCCGGCTCCCTGGACCCCGCCCCTTCCTCCTCCTCCTCCTGGGACTGGAAGTGCTCAGTTATCTGGTACAACAGCTTACATATCAGTGGCAGGAAGAATGTGCTGCGCTCTGCATGAAAAAATGATAATTATTCACTTTCTAAGTCCATATCTAATAGATTATCTTAGGAAGGGGAAAAACTGAGGAAAAAGTCAATTATCAGCAACATTTTTTTTCTTTCAGAGTGGGGAAATTCTGCATTCTGCTTTACTATAACAATTCTACATATTAATTAAAAAATATTGTCTGAAGTCTTACTTTCTGTGTGCACATATTCTGAAAAATTACCAGTATGCAGAAGTCCTGTTCCAATTTCCACCAGTCTTGATATGAACTCTCTGTCGCAAACTCCCACCAGCAGCATATTGGAGGCAATGGTAAGCAGTGTCTAAAAAACAGAGGAAATGCAGGTACTTCAATGACAAACCTATATAAACCTATAATTCAAACTGCAGTTTTAGTCTTAAACAGTCTAACCCAAGTTGTATGTATAAATATATAAATTCATATGTATTTATGCATAAATAACAACAAAATGAGTGGAATCACCTCAATGAGTGTCTGAGTCATCTCAGTCAAGGCTGGAGCTTGAGAGTCTGACACTGTCCTCTTCTTGCTGTGTCTGTCCTGTTCTTCTGCTGTACTCTCCACTGTGGTCTGGTTCAGTGAGGGCAGCAGCTCTGTATCTGCCCAGCTCAGCAGGTGCTCTACTACAGTCACGGCATTGTGGTCTGCATTGTCCTGTGTAATATATATATCATACCAATATTTTATGAAATCTAAACCCACACATGCTCATTACATTCCTACAGTCACAGCCTTGTGGTCCGAATTGTTCTGTGTAGAATATATTTATCATACTTATATTTTAGGAAATATAATTCCACACATGCCCATTTCAGATGACATTCAATATGGCACTGAACATTGGTGACATGTTATCTCAGGTAAAACAATTTTCATTTTGTGTATTATATAACATATATACAATGGTTGAATAAAAGAAAACAGTATCTATTTCGTATTTACAAAAAATAGCACTCTGAATCAACTATGCAATGAATCAACTCTGAATGCAAAATCACCAAATAAATTAATATTCCTCAAGAAAAAGTAAATTTTTCTCCACCTCACAAATAATTGCTTGACCTATCCCTGCACTTGGATTTGATGTTCTACACTATAAAAAAAAACAACATTGGGACATTTTCAGATGTGTGCAAATTGCCTTCAAGTTTTGCTCTACTTACAGGGTTATGTAGAAGCACTTCCAGTTTACAGTAAAGAGTGAAAGCTTCCACCAGGAACTTGTCAGAAGTATGCGTGCCCAAGGCCTCTGAACTTCCCAGCCTCTCTTCAATCAGTTTCTACAACAGAGATCAAGAATATGTAATCTGTAAGTATAAAGGAAATGCATCACTGCAAGTTTTATAATCGGCCATTTTAAGTGAATATGTCTACTATTAACAGAAAAAGGTCATCTTAAACAAACTTGAATTATTAACCCCACCCTCCTTTTTAAAAAAAATAACAGTAAGTGTTTGAGAAACAGACAAGAAACTGATATGGTAAAACATAAATATAAAACACCAATATTTATAATGCATTACCAAAACGTCTGCCAACTCAGCTGTAAGCTCTGTCAGCTCTCTTCTGCCTTGGTTCAGCAGTGCCTCCCTGCAGAGGGCGTGTTTGGTCAAGTAGCCAAGATAAGCCACAGCCAAGAGAGGTTTGGGAACACCTGGCTCACAGAAGGTGACACTCTTGGCTTTTCTTCTGGCCTGGAAACAGAACAAACATACACATGCTGATAACAATTTAACACCACATAATATTTTCAATATTTTCTAGAAACATTAAAAGATCCCTGCTATTCAAGGACAAAAAATTTTGACCAAATAAGTCTTCTTTCTATACCTTTTTCTTCATATTCAAAATACTGTAATGGACTTAAAACAGTGAAGTTATGAATTCATCAAAATAATAAGTAATGATGCCATGGAGATCAAAAAGCTTTTCATAAAATTCAGAGCTGAAAGTAAAAAACATAACTTTACATTGAGACCTTCCATATTGTGCACACACCTTAGAAGCAGAAGAGTTCTGTGCGTCTGCCGTCTCTCCTCTCAATCCAGTATATATCCACTCTGAGACTAAAGCCAAAATGTCCTTGACTTTGCCCCAGCTACACATAGATTCCAGCAGGGTACCATAATCTGGCTCTGCAGAGCTCTCCTCCAGGGATTTTATCTTTGATAGACAACTTCGACTGGAATAAAAAAGTATATACAGGTATCAGACTTATTTAAGTTAAAAGCATGTTTTCTTTGATACATTGAGGGTTGTATAGGTGATTATAGCAGTACGTTAGAAAAAAGAGAAGGCATGTTGATCTGACTGCATGCAACTAGAGTCCCAGCAGAGTTAGATTGACTTAGTTTCATTGGGAATGAGACATTACCACATCACCTTCTCACTTCCTTATGAAACTTGCAAACTTCATACCATTTTTCTTACAGTAACCAAAGATTCATTCATAAAGGACCAAATTTGCATAATAGGCCTGTTGCAAGGCATAAATGCTTACCTTATGGTAGGAATTGAACTTGCAGGAAGAAAACCAGCCAGGAACACCAGAGCGTCATAGCAGCGGTTGTCCTGGAGAAGATTATTTTTAAAAAATTATAATAAAAAAACAGGAATATGATCATTTGTTCATAGAAAAAGATATTCTGGTTTAAAATTTAACTTAAAAATAATAATATCTTTTTTTAAGATAAAGAAACATGTCTAATAAAAGTAATCAACAAAATAAAATCAATTCAAACAAAAGTTAAACACTGGTTTTTAATGAGAAAAACTCACACAGCAATATAATTAACAAGTCAACCTACATGCATCACCCTGAAGAAGTCAGGCAAACACTTGCTAAACTTGGCATGTAGTTTCTCCTTCAGCTCTGCATTGGCTGGCTTGTCCAGCTGAGCACTGACCCCTCCCCAGAGGACTACCATGGTCTCCAGTAGACCTGACATCACCTCGGTGTCATTCAGGGTTAATTCTGTCTCCAGCTCATTCTCCTGGAGAATTAAGAAAAGATTTACAATTGCCTATAGCAAATTAAAATTAGTTAATCAATATGGCAAAAATTAACTACAGTATTTCTTCAAAGTTGTAACTACCACACTTTCTGACTTTAATTTCACATTTCCTTTTTTTCCAAGACTTATCAGACACTTACCAAAATGTACTCTCTGACACAAAGACAACTAACTTTTCAAAACATTTGGATGACTAACAAATTTTTTTTTTTTTTTGGGGGGGGGGAGGGGGGGGGAAGAAACAGCCACCATTGCCTATTTCAGTAGTAACACCAGCTCAAAATTCAAGAGGTGTCACTAATATCATATTACAATACATTAAAGCATCTTATGCCAATAACAAAAGCCATCTGACATCACTTCTGAGTAAAGCAGTGATATAACCCCACCTTCTCTTCCTCATCTTCCTCTTCATCCAGTCTGTTAGACATCTCCACCCCACTGTCACTGACACGATGTTTGCGGACACACTCCGAAACACAGCGACACAGATACATGATGAACTTCACTGAAAAACATTTAAATATCTCAATCTACAACCCAGTAAATTCTACATCTCTGGGATCCAGGGTAACTACAATAACAAAAGATATCATGAAAAATTCAGCAATTTTAATACTCAAGATGGAGATAACTGAATTTTTCAACTTTGGGAAAAAAAACCAAGAATCAAATCAACATGAGCACATCTGAAAATTTCACAACAAGGAAAACATTTAAACACACCCAATTGTAAGCTAAAAAACTTTTCCAATTCTAATTCTACGTGAACTTCACCCATAACATAAGCACATTTAAAGAGTATCTCATCAATCTTCCTTCTTTTATTCTCTACCTGTGTGCTCCAGGTCCATATGACAATGTGCATACTGGTAAAACCTCCTTGCTGCTCCAGCGTTGGCTTGGATCAGGTTGTGACAGCGAGCCACCTGAACCTCCATCCCCTTCTCCACTGGCATGTAGCTGTTGAAAATCAGGGTGACAATTCTCTTCACTATAGGTGGAGTATCAATTTCAAGACGAGCCAGGAGATGTTCCATTGGTACAATGGTCCAGAACTGAAATTGGGTAGTTTTAACATAGATGTAATCATAATAGTAAAAAAAAAATGTATGTGATTGCAATTTCAATTCTCTTCTTTTTATGTCTGATGTATAAGGAAAAAAGCTTATTCGTTCAAAGCAAAATACTTTCCAAACGTTTTTTTTTTTTTTGTAATTTTTGTGGTCTGGTAGTTTACTATGATATATCAATATTGTGAGCCTGTGTGGTTGATCTAAGAATTGAAAATGAAATACTATTTCAATATTTTAAACAGAGCACCTCTAGACCATCTTATGGTTTTCTTCAAAAAAATACTTCATTTTGACACAAACCAATTTGCCCTATGAGGCTGATACTACAAGAGTATGAAAATTACAGGTAATAACTAAAAAAAAGTAATGTGTCTACCTTGATGGCTCTCATTCCTTTCACCTTCAGCAGCATCTCCATGAAGGCCACGCGGACTTTCTCTGAAGTATCATGTAAGAGGTTACTGAGCCCAGGCAGTACTGTCTTAAACAGTGGGTGGGACAGGTGGTTGTCCAGAAGGAAAGTTAGGCCCTACAACAATATAATAATAAAATTATGAATAAAAATAATTCACTTTTTAAAATTCGTACACATCTCTAACTACTGGCATAATATTGAACATTAAGAAAAAGTTTTTTCCAGTTGAAAAAGATATTAGAAATGAATACTGAAGCTCAACGACCCCTCAAAAGCACACATGCCATTGCTTATCAGTATCTACTAAACCAAAATATACTCAGAAAATTACAGTGACAGTACCTCTAACCTAATACCTGTGTTCATTGCTATTACCTTGAGGACGGCCACTCTGACATCACTGGAGGCAGCGTCCCAGGCCAGGTCCTGGACCAGACTCTGTACCAGACCTGCTATGGTCTGTGATGGAATCAGCTCCCAGAATGTACAGCAGATCCTGCACACACCATGGATGGTGGTAGCTCTCACTACAGGACAAGGGTCTTCAAGCAGGGTCTGGAACAGTATGGAACACAACCTTCAATACAATCTACGTTTCAGGCCCATAGCCAGCAATTTCAAAAGGGGGGGGGTCTTTCTCTGAAAAAGTGGAACTTTCACCATGAAATTTGCATGTACCTTTATCAATTTTTACCCAGAGCAGGCCTTTTTCCTGAAACAAAGGGTGGTTTGTTCCAGCTCTCCCAACACCCTCTGGCTATGCCGTACAGGCCTTTATTTTCTCCATCAAGGGATACAGCTTTGATTTTTAAGACCTGGCATATATTCAGTAAATGTGATCAGGGGGACAGACAAGTACCTGCAGCATGTCAAACTGTTTCTGCATCAGTCTGTCTATCTCCTCTACATTGTCCTCAGGGTTCTGCAGGGGGAAGGCATCTATCATCAAGGCTGCAGCATTGGCCCGGACATTACCATTGGCTACCTGGAAATAAAGAAGAAACCAGTAAGTTGTGTCGTTAGTGAACTAATTAAGATGATACATAATTATATAAAAATATCAAAAAATATTTCAAGAATTTTGAAAATTAAATAGTGAAAGTAAGCCAAGTGCATTCTTTCACATCCACACTGTAAACTTCTCCAAGTACTGTATGAAATCACGTGACATTTTTTGTCTACGTACTTTAAGTGACCTCCAGAGAATAGGCTCATACAGTCTCAACAGCATCTCATCAACACCCTTCTGCTTCTTCTGCTGGTGGAAATATTCGAGGACCTGAGAATAATTAATAGTTTATACTTCTTTGATTAATAAATTTAATCTTTTAAAGTGCACCAAAATAAAACACAGATCATTTTAATTGCAAAAATATAAAGGTTGAGATTGGGTTTAATTTTCAGATCCTCAATAAAACAGATCAGCCAACTTTGTAATTCAACCTTTTTCATAAGGTTCTGTTCAGTTCTGGATCAATCTTGCCACCATGGGGAAATATTTTACCATTTTTTAATTACCTTTCTCAGTGAGGAAGCCAGGGAGTGTGTGGATCCTCTTGGAGCATGCACAGCATGATACATCAGGTCTTGAATACAATACAACTCTATTTTCTAAGAAATAATAATAATAAACACAGTTTCAATATGTCTTTCCTTGTAACATGGCAACCTTTAAAAAGGCCCTGAAGTTCTTAAACAGAAAAATCAAAATACCCTTATAAAAAAATTTTTCTTTATATCTGAATTGATCATGAGTTTTATTCTTTATATTTTTCACATCCATTACACAAAAACTTTAAAACAGTCATGCACTCACTGATCTAGATAGAGGTAAATATTCACACACAAGTATGCACGCAAACAAGACTCTTACCTCCAGAAAAGGGCCTGCAGCCACTCTCCAGGCACGGAAGTAGATGTCTCCATACCACTGCAACACACTCCTGAGGGAAATAACAAGTTTATATGTCAATCACTATTACACCATCATGTAAATATTTGTGTTTTGCACTCATGTAAGAACTTATCAATATCTTTAATGAGAAAAGGATACCTGGCTCTATTTCATATAACTTCTTATGTTCAAACAAACATTTTATGATTTCAATACATAATATGTACAATAATCTTCAGCTAAAGCACACAAAATATGTTTTCTAAATAAATCATTTTGGAAAGAACTTATTCATTTGGCAAAACAAAATGCAGCAAGACTGAAGGTTTGCTCTGTTCTTACTTGGAGCAATATGGCAGCTGGTTCTTCACTGTCCTGTGGAGACACTCAATGAAATTACAGTTCAGACTGAACAGGAAACTTAAGAACAAACGGCCCTGAAATGAATAAAATAAAATAATGCCAGACTTATTAGAGTATAGATTTATCTTATACAAGTACTACTGGCATTTATTATAAGCAGTAATAATACATAAAGTTCAAGGTAATGGTAAATGAAGCTTTTTTTCACGTACACTATTTGTGCACTGTTGTTCAAGACACTTGGTTTTTGTTTAGTTCTCAGTAAGATGCTAGCCACAGCCAGGTCATGGCCAAGGACAATACGACTCTTCAAGTATTCAGTCTACAGAATTTTATAGAATTTATGGCTTATCAGTATTCCATCATACTTACAGTTTACGTATTCTACAGCACTAAGCAGAATAGCACTTTCCCCATACTAAGTGCAGTGATTTGTGATTACATATGCAACCATGTATTTCCTTACCTCTTTTAACTTGAGATAAGCTGACTGCATCATGCACTGCTGTAACAGAGTCTTCAGTGTTTCACTGCTCTCATTCTGGAGATCCATGTGCTGTAGACACAGGTGGAGGTTCCACACTCTCTTTATGTCAGCCACCTTGTAGTTATAATATGCACACACCACATGAAGTGTAGTAAAGATTCAATGTCATCCGTTTTGTAATGAAACTAATAACTTCTTTTATTTTGACTACTGTACTGTCCACAAATAACATTTATTATCCAAAAGATACGACTGAAAGGTGAATAGTTAGGTTGAATTGAAATTTTTTGTATAAATAATGTAAATATTTTCAATTATTTAGTGAGAATAAAATATGTCAATAAAATAAAAACTACACATAAAATACAAGCTACAGTTTATGGATTATACCTCCACACATTCAATACTTGAAGCATCACTATCACATATGGTAAAACATCTACACCAGGGATATACAACATAATTAAGTACAATTAAACAGCTTTAAGTATAATGAATCATAAAACCCATCCTCTTACCAAAGGTTTGGACTGGAGTGTTCGCTGCAGGAGGTACATAATGGTCTGAGGAGTGAGATCCTCCTTGCCCTCAAGATCCTCATTCCACCAGATCTCACAGAACTTAGCTATGGCGTTCTTTAACTTGTCAGCAGACTCTGGCAGACTTAACAGCACACCTGAATGTAAGATTGATATTTCCTAATCAACACATTGAGATTTAATTTATGCAGAGATTAGCTCATCTTTTGATTCAGGCCTGACTAAAAGAGGACATGAATTTCAGGTAAAAGTATAAAAGTGAAACATGAAGATTTACATTACATAGCAATATTCCACTTTGTTTGTTTGTCAAATTTACCATTGATAGAGCTCAAGCCTTATTAACACTATCATGAGTAGTCAGGCTTACCATGCAGTATCACAGCTGTCTCAAACAGTGACTGGGGAGCATCAGCGTGAGTTTTCACAGTTGCCATGGCCATGGTGAGAATGTGGTGGAGGAGAGTTGTCCTTTTCTGAGAGGCCTGGGAATGAAGAGGAAATTATATAGTTTGTAATCTTAGTGATTTCTTATTTGATGCTAAACATAATCTGATCTGACTACTGAAAATATAAAATATTTTACTCTTTCTTATAATTGTCATCGACAATTTTTTGTTATTCAAGTTTAAAATCGCAACTTGTTCAAAAAATCTATGTACCCAAAAGCAATACTACACTAGAATGATCCATGTAGATAACCAAGAAAAAAATAACATTCAATACACCCTTCTCTGTTTCTCTGCCCCCTCCAAGTTACATGAATATTCAATCATTAACACAAAAGCTTTAAATATCATTAAATATACGTGTTCCAGCATGTCATACCTTTTTCTCTTCCCCTTTCTCCTCCATATCACCTACTATTTATCAATAAGTCACAAACACAAAAGATAACATTGAGTGTACAGCATATCATACCTCTCTCTGCTCTTCCTCTTCCTCCTCCCCATCCCCCATCTCCAGCAGAGCACTGGTACATATGGTCTGCAGTCCAGACCACAGCTGGTCCAGCTGCTTCTTGTCCATACTGCTGATCACTTCATCTACATCAATACTAGCTGGTATGGTGACCTGTTAGATGTCAGACACACAGATGACTATACTGTACTATACTGTACCATTACATGAATCATTTTGTATTCAACATACGTATAAAATCTGTTTGATTGACAATTTTGAAGTACATCGCTGATATGATTAAACATGGATTCTTTTTTTTTTTTTTTTTTTTTTTGGTCGCAAATCAATGCGGGCATAGTGATCTCTTGATTATCCCTGGCATGCTTTATGAAACATGAGGAACATACAGGTGAGGCACTTGCTGTTCACTTTATAATGTGGTGCTTGCAGCAAATACCAGTACTTTGACGTGACGGTGTCATCATGAGTACAGATGCAATTGTATATGTCACGTTAAACATATCATTTATAAAAACAAAGGCACCCTACTACCCTTAGAATTGCTTACTTTCAAATGACTAATGCATATCATCACATATTGTCAGGAGCCACAGTATTGAAAAAAATGTTATTAAATATTTTTAATACTATTTCTTTTTTCTGTTATTTCAACTAATATTTATAATATCATATTTTATTTAAAGAAATCTTACGTTTTGTCCAAGCAAACCAAGCAGCTCCTCACCACTCCCACTCTCAGCCGCTTGCAGCAACAGGCCTCGGCTGGTCATCTTCTTGGCTGGTCGGAAAAAAAGTAGCCAGTTTTAAGTTTATGAAAAATATCAGAGTTATACTTTGACACATATGATGTTGTGACACTTGTCCCGTGATACCCACAACATTTAAAGTGCCACTTTTTATACTTTTAGGCTCTTTAAAATATATCAACATTTAAACTACCAATTTGTATTTTAAGTCGAATACGTTTTAACAAATTAGGATTTATACAAGCCTTAAGAGTACCTTTAACATCTACATATATGTTTTGCAGATATAAAAAAAAAAATTATGCAACAAAATCCACTGTTATTCAAATACAAGTAAAAATACCTGAATAAAAATCCTATTTGCTTCGCCGCCAAAAATTTACATTCGCTAGGTGGTCCGCAGCAAATATAACGGCGCTTTTCGATTAGCTATAATTTATAGTCGCACCTATCACATTTTCAACATTACAACAACTACTGCATTAACAAGATCTGGATGTAATGAAACTGACAGAGTATTGGAAAACATTGAACGGATTCCTGGAGTAAGTAAAAGGTAAGTTAGGTAATATCACCTACAGATGAAGACTTTGGCAACGAGAGATTTTGATTAGTGATTAAGGATTCTTTCTCAGTCAGCTATAGACCTATAAACCTTTTAAAAGCGGCACTTTGGGTTCGTTTTCATGAAAAATATTTTACGTATGCTCTTTAATAGGTGGTGATTAGCAAAAGGTTTCGATTTAAGATATAGATTTTATTGTCATACTTCTTTAACCATATAGTAGTTCTAGTAGTAGAAGTAGGTCTTATTTAATAGCTTTATTTATTTATTTTTTTAATAGCAAATGATGGAAAGAAAATAAGCATTTAACCCCGTTATGTCAAATTACAATCCACCATTTAAATAGGGTAACTCTTTTTGGGCGTTTGGTTTGCCTCATTCAGGCAGCATCTAGTCGTAATAAAAGCCCCTCCACTTCTTTCTACCAACTGCTGTCTTCGTGACCCCTGTTAAACGTTTTAAAATGTCAACATGCTTTTTGTTAAAAGCGATAGGACTAAGTCAACAATTACGTATGCATGACCTAAAATCCACAAAGCCGACAAGTCAGTTGAGATCCCAGTCCCCGCCCAGACAGGGGGATTTTATACCGATTTAAATTAGAAGCATGATTCAACGGGAATTTTACCAAATTTAACGCAATCCTTAAAATAGATGGGGGAGTTTATTAGTGTTGGAATTACGTTGAACCAGAAGTTGATGGAAACTACAGTGTAGGTCTACTAGTAGTAGTCGCCGAGAAAGACTGAGCCCATACGCAGTAACTACTCATTTGCTCTCAAGGCTGTCCTCACAAAGAAGAAAAGGTAAGAATTTGACTTTCATTCAAATTTTTATCGCATACCATTATTTCGTTCAAAATAACTTGTTTTAAATTGGATTTTTTTCACTTTTTTCTTGCATTTGTTGTTTTCTATGTAAAAATCAAACATGTCTACAGAACACCGGGTGCATAGTACCGGTAGTTTTTACAAGAAAGAAACACTTTGTGACCAGGGAAAATATACGCTTTTAACAACGCATGGCTGTAAAAAAATTCCCCGCACTGTCCCGGAAGTCAGGGGGCGGAGTTTCAATTGACTGGTGCATATTATCATTATTATCTTTTTTTTTTCAAATATTTGGGTTTGTCTGTGAGAAGGGAGAAAGGGGTACTCTCATAGCTAAGGTGAAAAGAGGGAGGGCAACGGACCCACTGTGCCCCCCCCCCCCCTCTCCCCCGGATCCGCCATTGCATTAGTCAGTGTAAATGCCTGATTAACTTATCACTGTGTCCTGGTTCTTTTGCCGATATCTTAGTTAATCCTTTGACCAACATATTACAATGGACCTACCTAATGTTTTATCTCTTGTTTTATAATGCCTCGCTTCACTCGTCATTTTTTTTTTCCAATTTCTTTTACGCCAGCAAGAAGCCAGGTTTTTTCTCGAAAACTGGCAAAAGACCTGACCACCTTTCAGAAAGAGAAAATATTTGAGCCGGGCGGCTGACCCAAAAAGTGAAAGAGGCCAAGAAAAGCAAAGACAGCCCACTGTTCCGTATTTCTGCTGCAGTAACACTGCCTCTGGTTCAACATGGCAGAACCTTTGTATTCTAATTCACCATTTCTCCATCGTATCGGTAAGTTTGTCCACGCAACTCCTTACGTTTTTATGATAAGCATGCGAATACGACGTGTATAAGCGCACATAATTGTGAAAGACTAACTGGACAGAAAAATATCAAGAAATTAATGGACATCAATGAAATTAAGATATCCCAGGCTCACATCTTCCATTCATTCAAAACACTGTGTACGGACTCTTAATTTTAACAGTATTTCTAAATTAATTTAAGTTAATCTGATGTATATGTGTTCTCGACATGTTTATTTGTTTCTAACTGTTCTTAAATTTTTTAAACATGGGTTATACATGAATTAATGTACAGCTGATTGCATTGTCTCTGCCCCAAAATCACCTGTATTACAAACGTGAAAATGATGGCGTATTAAATCCTGCGAATATATAATCTTTTCAAAATATTTTTCAGTTTCAGTTTTGTTTTTGTACTTTGGAGGAATCGACAGATATTTTTATCGGCATGCTAAGGACAAAAGTGTTCAGACTGCACTGATTACTCTGTTTACGAACATAATGCGATGTGCTTTAGTATGGATCACAGGGTAAGTAAAATCTCCCTTTTTCTTTCTCGGCGTGCGCGCACCACGCGTATGTTGTGTGTTTGTTAGCGCTGTATTTTCTTGTTCCTGTTTCGTTTTGATGATCTCGGCTTGAAGAGAAAGTCTCTCTAATGTAATAAACTCATCTTCAGCACTTGGACATAATATCGAATTCGTTATTATGTCCAAGTTCAGCACAAAACTTATCGTTTGTGAATTTCCAGGCAAACAGTGTCGACCCTTGTGAGTGGTCATTCTCTGCTGCCCCACGATTTCTTCCTCCACGCCTGGATCATGGTGTTGATCCCTGTGCTTGCCTCGTGGTACAATGAAAATAACTTGGACAGCTTGTATGAGTGCTTCGTGACATTGGCCCGGTTGGAACAAGTGAGATGAGTTCGTTGTTGACTGAATAAGACTAGGATTGCTTTATTTGCATTTATTAGTCAGTGCCATGTTTCATTATGTTGGCATTGTAATCGAAAAAAAAGGGTAAAGTATAACAATATAGAGCAGTCAAACTATCTGAATTTGTGGAGATTATCCGAATGATTTCGTCACTTATTATTTGAAGTTAAAATCTAAAGAGGATATTATTTTGATTATTTATTTCTTGCACCAAGGTATTAATCTAAAGTGGATTTTACTGTGATTATTTATTTCTTGCACTAGAAAACTAATGACGGTAAAAACAGGAATATCAGACAGAAATTTGAAGGGTGTAGTTTACGCTAAAACTGACATAATATTTTAACACCAGTTAACATTTTTCTCGACAGGATGACACCAACAACGGCCAGAACGAGCAGGACGAAGACATTACGAGAGAGAGAGAAGAATATCAGCATCGTGCCACGTTAGCAATGACTAATATTAGCTGGGCACTGCTTATTACCATCTTAATAGAGTGGCCAACAGCATTATTAATTGGTAACCAGATCTATCCGCTTCCTATGAACGTAAACGCTCACAAATTTTTAAAGGCCATTCATCTCCTTTACGTGGTAGATACTTTCCATCGCACTGCTCTATACGTTATACATTATCGTACAGTGGATCTGAGTTTGCTGGAGAACCGCTTCTGCAACATCGGAGAACCTTTGGTTTTTAATTCACCATTTCTCGCTCTTATCGGTAAGTTTTTCCACGCAACTCCCTTTGTTTTTATGTTAAGTAAAGCATGTGAATACGGCGTATATAAGCGCACATAATTGTTAAAGACCAGCTGGACAGAAAAATATCAAGAAATGAATGGACATCAATGAAGGATATCCCAAGCTCACATCTTCCATTCATTCAAAACGCTGTGTACGGACTCTTAATTTAAACAGCATATCTAAATTTTCATATTTAACTAAACCTGATGTACATGTTCTCGTCATTTTTATTTGTTTCTAACCGTTCTTAAATGTTTTAAACATGGGTTATACGTGAAATAATGTAGAGCTGATTGCATTTTCTATGCATAAAAATCGCCTGGATTACAAACGTGAAGATGATGGCGTATTAAATCCTCCTTTTATATATATATATATATATATATATATATATATATATATATATATATTTTT